TGCACACCCACTCACATATTCACTATGCACACCTAACTCATGCACAAGTGTGTACTCTCATTTGTGTGTGTCACACTTACACTCACACCAAGGGCAGGATCAGAGGCAGTCACCCCCTCCTCAGGCCCCTGTGCTCCCCCCGCCCCCAAAACAGGCACTTCCAGGTCAAGCTGGGCCTGGTCACAGATATCCAAGGAGCCCTGGCTTCGGTACCCACCCTGATCTCCGTTTCAGAGCTTGCCCACCATCCAGGAGTGGCTCATGCCTGCACTCTGAAATGGACACAAAATTGCCCATCTGCTGCAGGCTGAGGCTGCTGGTGGTTCCTCTCTCCTGACTTGCAAGTCAGTGGGGCAAAAACAGCCAGAGAAAGACCCAGAAAAGTCGGGGGGAGGGAGGGCAACAGCAGGGTGCAGGCAGAGCTGATCAGGAGCTATAAGTGGTGGAGGGGCCCAGGCTTCCTCTGGGGAGTTGGTATGGTGGTCTCCTTTCTTCTGTCGGAGAAAACAAACTCAGACCCCGGGTCTCCCAAGGACCCTTCTACTGGGTGCCAGGACACCTTGGAGCACATCAGGCCTGGCCCCTCCAGTCTCAGATGGCACACAAATGTGTCCTCAAGCCCTTTGCAGGTCCTGGACCACGTGGCAGTGACCCTCTCTGAACAGAGCTACTGTCACGGTCAGACAGCATCAGTGTCTGACTGCTCACAACCTGGTCCTTGTCTACACAGTAAATAAAGTTGAGAACTTGAGGGGGTCACCAACTTACAGGTTAGCCCTAGAGCATGGGCAAAGGACAGAATCCTCTGACCAAACACTTATCCATACGTGGGACACACTGGGCCCTCTATGAATTGTGTTGTAGGAAGCATATTGATATGATTCTGAAGTGGAGGGAGACAATGAAAACCCTGGGGGGACTACAGGGGAACTCCTTCACTTGGCAGGGTCGTGGGTGTGGGGACTGCAGGTAGGTTGGGGACACAAGGCAGGAGGGGACTGCCCAGTGCTGATGCCCAGGGCTCCTGCAGCCCACACGTGCCACCCCTCCCATGACGGGCTCTCAGCCACACAGGACAGCCTCTCCATGCCAGGCATGCTCAACCTCTGCCAGGAATAAGCAGGCCCCACCCACCTAGATGCCACAACTGGGCTGGCAGGGCCAGTGGCGATGTCATCTCTAGAGTCCAGGGTCTGGGCTTGCCTCCAAAGCATGCCTCTGCTAGACATCCGGTGCTGGCAGGCCCCCTCCTGAAGTGGACACTGCAGGGCACCACCCAGACCCATTCCATGACCCAGACTTTCATCCCCCGTTGCCAGGACCACCAACCGTAGCTGGCTCATAGCTGAGACCCCCCCACCCCAAGAGGTCACCTTCAGTGGATGAGTGACCTTCCCAAAGTCATGGTCCCTCCCCAGAGAGGGTGGTCTTGTGCCCAATGACAGAATGGCATCCCTGTGTTCATTTGGGTTACCTCTGAATGATCGTCTCGGTTCTTGAGCTCCAAGGGGATTCCCAGAAGCCTCTGTCGCAAACCCTGCTCCCTCACAGGTATTACTCCCAAGACATGCCCCAGTACAGCCGGGCAGGGAAATTCAGAAGTCCCTATGTTCTCAGTCCACTCCACTCTCCTGAGTGAGGGCCATGGCATCAGGAGGAGGGAGTGAGCAGAGGCCCGGACCCAGCCCACATGGACATATGTGCGCACACACATGCACCGCGCCTCACGACTGTCCCTCAGTGCTGTGATCTGGTGGAAGAGCCCCTGCATAGAACCCCAGCTCACAGTCTGCTCCTTCTTCTTCACTGGGCCTGAGAAATGGAAATAGGTTGCAGTTGCCTACCATGTGGGCAGGTGACTGGGGATGGGCAGGCGTCTGGACCACCACCACAGCTGTGGGCTTCACTCTAGGACCTGAGGGGGTGGGAGCGCCTACAGGAGGAGGAGTCCCTTCTAGCCACCCCAGAATCCTCAGCTCGGAAGGCCAGTCCCTGGGCTTTTGGGAACCTGGATGGCCCCAGGACCAGCCACTGGCTATTTGGGGAGGAGGGAGAAGTGGGCCAGTCCAGCCAGGGGCCTAAGGTCACTGGCTATTTCTGAGGCAGCTGCCCCTTCCTGTGTCTCAGGGCATGGCAAGGGGTCCCTTTAAGAACCTGGGTCCAGGGCCCAGCAGCACTGGCAGCACAGCCCAAGGAAGGGAGCATGCAGGGCACACACACCTCCTTCAGCTGCCATCTGCCCAAGGAGCCTCACCTCGCTGGTGCCCATCAGACACAGGGGCTGGGAGGCCAGTCGTGTGCTGGAGTGCTGAGAAGCTGTGGAGGGTGTGCTCATGTGCTCCTGTCTGACTGAGGAGCCCACTGTGTTCTGACCCAACTGTCAGAGCCATCTCCATGTTAGAAAGGACACCAAGCCAGTGTTCTGGGTGCCTGGGGACGGCACTGGTCCTGGAACTCTGGCCTCTGTGGCCAGTAGAGCTGCTGTCCTTCCCCATAAGACTCCAGTGACTGGTGGCCCCCACAGGCCATTGGCTGGCTCAGCAGGGCCAGAGACCATCGCTCCAGCACTCACCCATCCCAGAGCATCCAGCTGTGTCCTCACTTGCATCTTCCCCTGACATCCCCCAACATCTCTTCCCCAGCCCAGCAGCTGGGCACCTAGGACCACCTTCTCTCACCCCCTGCCTGCCTGCCCTGCACGTCACAGTGGGAATGCTCAGCCCAACACTTCCCGCCGGTGGTGGGGCCTCAGACCACAAACCAGGAAGTGGTGGAGCCCCCTCCGCCAGCGGTTTCGCAAGCCCTTGCACTAAGGCTGGGACATCTGGAGAAGTGGGTTGTCTGGCCCTGCCTCCACCTCCTGGGGGCCAGGGCAGCCCTCAGAGCCTCTCTCCTCACCCTCAAGGTAGAGATAAAACACCCCTCCGGAAAAATGGCCTCCCCATGATTTCCACAAGGACCACACCATGTTTGAAATCAAAATAAAAATTAATACAAAACAGCACCCAACCTGCCCCTGCCCTCACCACGGGGACCAGACACTTAACACAAGGAACTTCCTGCTCTGATTTCTCCAGGGGATACTGGCGTCTTGGTCTGAGGGGGCGCTCCTCTCTCTGAGGTCGCCCACACTTTCTAAGTGTGTAACCTTTTAACTTTAAACTCTTTCTTTTCAACCTTTCAGTGCACTCCTCTGAGGTCGACCGCACTTTTTCTCTAAGAAACTTTTAAACTTTTACTCTGCTTCACTACTGTGTCTCTGCCCTTCATTCTTTGTTGCAGCTGGAACAAGGGCAGAGGAAGATACATAACCCTCTCCCAACAGGACCACACCAAGGCCTCAGTTTCCTTCAGGGAATAGGGGAGAAAGGGAAGGGGAGGGCAAAGGGGTTGAGCACAGGAAAGCAGGAAGGGGCTCATTGTTTGGGCAGAATGGCTGCAGGGGATGAAGAGGAAAGACAGGGGCAGGAGTCACATCCAGGCCTGCCTTACAAGCATGGATCTGTGACAAGTTACCCGCCTCCGGAAGCAGCAGAGTGCCACAAATAGCTGGGTGGCTTCCAGCAGAGGGCTGGAAGGCTTCTGCCCCTCCCTCCTTCCCTGCCCAGGAGGTCCTGGCTGGGGCCAGGGGGGGTGGGGGGGGCCAGGATTGATGGAGGGATCGGGGAGGGTTGGGGGTACCCAGATGGGACTGGACCTGAACTGCCTGGAGGAGCAGTTGAAGACCATGGCCCTCCCAGCTGAACTTGCCCTGAACTAGGTGCCATGCTCATCCAAGGCGCCAAGCACATGGCCAGTCAAACAACTCCCATCTGATGCCATCCTACACTCCAAGGCCCCATAGGTACCCCCTCCCAGGGCCAGAGTCACAGGAATCAAAGACAGCTCAGGATATGTCCCTAGGGCAGGAATGGTTGTATAGGGCTGTGCCTGCCACCATGCCAGGGCTGCAGCGGGGCCCATGCAAACCTAGGTAAACCCTAGCAAGACAAGCTTGTGTTGGGTGTCTGGGCTGCAATTGCCCGCCAGGGTTCACTGACCCAGAGGAGCCAGAAGCATGCCCCTCAACCACCACAAACACACAACAGCCCTGTGTTTGACCACCGCCCGCCTGCCCATGGCCCTCCCTTCTCCCTGGGGGGCACCAATCCAACTTGAGAGGTTATGGGCAGGGAGGGTAGCCGGAGATGGGCATGGGAAGGGGGCATCAGAGGTGGGGACCCCCCAGCCACAGACATGCAAGGAGGGTGTTTAGGGGTCTCACAGACCATTCCTCGCCTCACCACAGGAGGAGGCTGGCCCCCCTGTCCAGCGAGCCTACCCCAGGATGTGGGTGGGCTCCTTTCAGCATCCTTGGGTGACAGGAGGGGCGGGGGCTCTGCTGAGGAGCCAGAATCCCCGGACCGCCTGTGACGATGACCCGGGCAGGGGCTTCCGGACAGGCCTGGCGTCCGCTTCCTGGGCAGTCTTCCTAACCCACTATCCGCCCCCCTGCCCCCCACCAACCTGTCCTTTCCACCCGTGCCTCCCGAGGTCGGGAACAAGTAATATCGCCCCCCTCGCCCCCCCCCCACCCCGGCCACCGCAGTCCGGAAGGCATGTCGAAACGACAGGGCCAGTCCGCCACCTCCCTCGGCGCATTCCACGTGCACCCCGCCGAACCGTATGCGGGCCATTCACGCCGCACCAGTTCTCTTCGTCGTCTGGCCACCGGCTCTGCGGTTTTGGGGGTAGTGGGGGCAGGTCACTGGGAGGGGAGCCCCTGGCCGCCTGCTAACCCTCCTCACTCAGCAAGAGCGCCACCCGCTCCCAAGCCCACGCCGCGAGCCCGTCACCGCCCCACGGCTCCCGTCCTTCTCTGCGCAAGCGCCAGCTCCACCCTCGGCCGGGGCGGGGCTTCCGGGGTTGACTCCGCCCTGGGCTCAGGGCTAGACGGGCAGCTGCTGGCGAGGCCCGGTCGGAGCGGCCGGATGCGCGCGCGCGCCGAGGCTCAGGTGAGTGCGCGCCGGCCCTCCATGCTCGGAGCCGACTCGGGGCCGAATATCACCCCGAGTGGCACAGCCAGGGACCCGCTGAGCGAGGGCCCGGGGCGAACCGCAAATGCGCGCAGGCAGGCCCGGACGGGGTCCGCGGCCCCCAGAGGAGCTCCCACTAGCGGGGTGGGCTCCGGCTCGGCCCGGCTGCTCCGTTTGCCGGAAGCAGAGCCCAGGCCAGGCCCGAGGTCGCAAGTGAGGTCTGGGAGGGGACCCGGACATAGGTTTTCTGGTGAAAAGCTGTGCGCTCAGGCCTGTCGCAGACACCCGCTGCCAAGAAGCCAGCCTGCCGAACAGTTGGCTGGAGGGGCCGCCTTCCCACCCTCCTCCTTCAGCGTCACAGCCAGGTAAATGCCCCCGTTCGTGAACTAACCCCGTTTGCCCAGGCTTTGATGGAGGGCTCGTGGGTCCCTTGGACAACCCCATCCAGACAAGGCTGTTTCCTGTCCTCCACCAGGTGGGCCTGGCAAATGACCCTTCTCCCCAGGTTTTGCCCAGAAGCATCCCCACTGGAGGGTGTTCCTTCCTAACATTAGCTAGGTGCTTGCTGGGTGCTAGCCGGGTGCTTCCCTGGCTTCTCTCGCTTTATTCTCAGAACCACAACAGATGAGGAAACAGAGGCACAGACACTTCAAGTAATTTTCTGGGGCCCCTCACCCAAGAGCCCTCATTTATGACCAGGGTCACGTGATGGGTTGGAGGTGCCCAGGTGCACAGTTTGAGGTAGCACTCACTCTGGGTGCTACACCGGGTCACCGCACTCCTCAGCTCCCTGTGCAAAATAAGCCGGGTCACCTCATGCATGTTTGAATCCTAGATCTGCAGTGGAGAAGCTAAGGCTTCTGTGAATCTCAGTACCTGGGCAACCATATGAGTCCCTCACTGCCCAGGGTGGGCCAGAGCAGAGACCCAGAGTGACCTAAGTGCCCAGGCAGTCAGGCCAGGGGCCAGGCTTGGGGTGAGAATAGCGTCCCAGAGTCTGAGGCCACCACGGGTGTTGGCAGATGGGCCAGGCTGCAAAGACGGTCACGTCAGCGCCCATTCTCAGCAGACTCTGTTCAACGTGGAACATCACCACTCATTTTAAAAATAATGGGCCTGTCACATGCCTGGGAGATGTGGCTACTGCTGAAGATCAGGCCTTGAGTAGTGTGTTTTCAGGCCCCAGTGCTCACCTGCTCCCTTCGTTGGAGAGCGGCTGGTCCCAGAATAGCTGAGGGAGAGTGGTCAGGTTTCCTCTGCCACAGCGTGGTGGCATGTGGGAGGCAGGCAGTGTGCTTGGGTCTCAACACATCCTCCCCATTCCTTGGGAGACCTCAGCTTTGCCCACTTACTCCTTCTCATTCTGACATCCTGGCTCGAGAGGAGAGCTGGGGATGCCCCAGAGGTCATACCCTGAGCACCTGGGGTAGGGCCAGGCAGTCAGGCAGCCGAGTACTTTTTTTAATGTTTGTTTGTTTATATTTATTTATTTTTATTTTTTATTTATTAAGGTATCGGTGATTTACACTCTTATGGTTTCACATCAAAAACAATGTGGTCACTACATTCACCCATATTATCAAGTCCCCCCCACACCCCATTGCAGTCACTGTCCATCAGTGTAGTAAGATGCCGCAGTCACTACTTGTCTTTATGCTACACTGTCTTCCCCTTGATCCCCCACCATGTGTACTGATCATAATACCCCCAGTCCCCTTCTCCCCCACCCCTCCCCTTTGGCACTGCTAGTTCCTTCTTGGAGTCTTCTGCTGCTTTGTTCCTTCAGTTTGGCTTCATCATCATACCTCACAGATGAGGGAAATTATTTGGTACTTGTCTTTCTCTCCCTCAGCCAGCCCAGTATTTACCCACCTATGTGTATCAGGCCTTCTGGGGTATTCTGAGGAAGGGTCTGACACATCGGGAGCCCTGTGTCAGCCAGGTGCTGGAGGGGTATGGATGACACATGACCCACTAGTCATGCCTCGGGCAGTCCCCATTGAGGTTACAGCGGTGTTTTGAAATTCCTGGTTAGGCTCAGGGGCAAAAGGCAGGATTCCGGAAACAAGTTCAGAAGTTGGCCCGAGGTCCATGTGGTGAGCAGGCATCAGAAGATACCAGCCCTCCTGTCCCAGGCTGTGGTGGTGCTCACTGTCCCCTCCCTGGGCCCTGCAGCCCTTTGCCACAAGCTGTGCATCTCCTTAATGTAGAGTGCTTGTGGAGCTGAGTGGCCTCCCTGTCACCACTCCTCACGTGCCAGTCCTCACGTGCAGTCATTTCCCAGGGCCTCCTGGGGCTCAGCATGGGTCAGAGGACACCAGGTATGGCATTCTGTATGCCCCTTGTAACCACCCACGAGGCGGTCGGCTCATTTTGCAGGTGAGGCTGGCAGTCGATACGGTTCTGGAGCTGCTCACGTCTGACTCCACTGCACGACCATCTATCCTCTGCTATTCAGCTTGACTTTTTCCTTTTCCTTTACAGCTTTCCCGCAAAATGGGGCAAAAAAAGCAGCGGCTATTGGAGGCAGAGCAGTGTCACAGCCCACCGGATGGAGCCCAGGCGCCCTCCCACAAGGAGCCTCTCTGGGGGCCATGTGCCACCCTGTGCCCACAGCGCAGCATCTATTTCTCAAGCCCAAAGGGCCCCTCTGCACAGCTGGGATCAGAGTTTTTCGACCAGCCTGCAGTCTGCCTGGCCCGGGCTCTTCTGGGACAGGTAATATCCTGTGGCCAGTGAAGAAGACAAAAAACATCCAGGCCAGGGAAGACTCGATTCCCTGGCACACTGAGCATTCCACAGGCCCTCCCTGGCTGTACCGTAGCCTAGGCTCACCTCAGATGTGCTCTGTTGGCCTGAGAACACAAGCCCCTCCAGTGACAGCCCCTGGCAACTACCTCCTGCCCTGTCCTTGGACGGCTCCTCTGTCCCCTCCAGGCCCAACTCCCATAAGCCAACTATAGCCAGGCTCGTGTCCCTGGCATAGTGCCTGCACTGACCCGCTCCTTGGGGAGCTGTCGACACTGGCTACAGGGCCAGGGTCACTGTCACTGTGGGCCAGCCAGTCCTACTGCTCGGAAAGGCTTTTTGGTGCCAGGTGGGCAGAAGCTAAATGTGATGGTCCTTCTTAACAGTCCAGTTAGAGGGGCAGTGGACTTAACAGTCCACTGGCTCTGGAGCATACCAGACAGCTGTATGGGGACACCAGTAGGGCTCTGCACCCTCCAGGCTGCCCTGCCCCTGGCTGAGCCATTAAGTCAAAGGGGACTGAAGGAGAATACAGGAGGATGGAAGCCCCGTTATGGGACTCAAAGTGTGTTGATTCACTAGGGCTGGTTTCCAGCCTGCTCCTGGCTGCAGCCTGCGCATAGGACCACAGTGAGGAGAGCCTATGGTCTGGTGGTCCAGCAGGACAGAATGGACAGTGGGGGGACCTGGGTGGCCTGGTGCATCCTTAGTTGGGGAGACGAGGTCCAGGCTGTGGAATGTCCGGGTGCAGTGGACTTCTGTCCCTGCCCTGAGCAGAGACTGACCGCCTACAGGTCTTGGTCCGGCGGCTTGACAATGGCACAGAGCTCCGTGGCCGCATTGTGGAGACTGAGGCATACTTGGGGCCAGAGGATGAAGCTGCCCACTCGAGGGGTGGTCGGGAGACCACCCGCAACCGTGCCATGTTCATGAGGCCAGGGACTCTGTACGTGTACATCATCTACGGCATGTACTTCTGCATGAATATCTCTAGCCAAGGTGAGCAGTGCTGGGGGTTGGGGGCGGGCCTGGGTAAAGCCCTCAGCTGTCACCTGGGAGACTGCCGGGAGGATAAGGGCATGATGGGGGTTTGAGCAGGGAGGTGACACTGCAGGCTGTGTCAGGGTTTCAGAAGCTCTGGCTGCACGACAGTGTTCTGTAGTTCTGGGGGCCCCCACAGAACAGCGGTCATGGGTTGGCCTGAACTCAGATCTGACAGGTTCCATGCAGCTGCCACTGGTCCCAGAGATCAGAGCTGGTGTCACCGATGGCACAGGGTAGACTTGGCAGGGGCTGGCTGTGGGAAAATGAGGGTGAGATCTACTTGGGTTAAGCTGGCTTCAGGCAGGAACCTTGCCAGTCACTTATGGGGTCTTGGTAGGTTGTACTCAACTGGAGATGATTCTGCCACCCTGGGGAAACAGGTGATGTCTGGAGACATTTTTGGTCATCAAAGCTTGTGGGGGGAAGCTACTGGCATCTAGTGGGTGGAGGCCAGGGATGCTGCTGAATGGCTCACAATGCACCGGACAGCCCTCACCAGAGAACCATCTGCCCCAAATGTCAATAGTGCTGGTCTAGAACTCCTGGGAAAACCCACTCACCTTGTGGGACCTGCCCTGGGGCAACATCTGTCCTTTAGGAGCTTCCTGGGTGGTCTGTGCTTGGAAGAAAGAGCTCACAGCACTGTCCTGCCCGAGCTGCTGCCTGTCCCAGCATGACCAAATGCTTGAGGAGCCCAGTAAGGGGCTTGGAGGCTGGGAGGATGCAGATCACATTTGTTGAATGATTCCAGTGACATGGGAGCTGTGGTTGTCTACACTGGACAGCTGGGCCAGAACCACAGAGGATAGAACCACAGAGGATAGAGGACGCAGGGAGCCCATGACTGACCCTGTGCCGAGAGTGAGAGTGAGTGCCTGACATGAGAGGATGGCAGGGGCTGTCCCCAGAGGGCCGTTACCGCCCTCAAGAGGTTTCCTTGGCAATGGAACCAACCCCCTTGTGAAGTGAGACTGAACTCTGACAAGGAGCCTGACTCTAGAGGTACCTAGGGCTGTGGTCCCTGAGGAAGGGGAGGAGCCCAGGGTTTCTGTGGGCACAGCAGACAGGGCCGATGCGGGAGGTAATGTGTCACGTTACATTCTGGACATGGGTTCAAGATGCCCAAGGGACATTTAGGTCGAGGAGGCAAGAAACTGCACAGGTGCTGTCAGGGCCAAGGGCACTGGGTAGAGGCAGAGGGGAGGCCGGAGACCTGGTCATTAGCTGCCTGCCCACCGGCAGAGGTGATGCACAGGAGAGCTGGTACATCACATTGCTGAGGCTTGCTGGCATTTGGTGCACACCGAGTAGCGGGATGTGCAGACTTGGTGGGAAGACGTTAGGGTGCTGGGCTTTGTCTTTGTCTTTAAGGACATGGGACTCAGATGTGTTCCAGAGAGGGAGGTGTGTGACAAAGGTAAGCAGCTCCTTTGACACAGTTGCAGGCCGCTCTTGGGGCTCAATGACATGGTGAAGGATAGGTTGCACCCATGGGAAGCCCTGAGGCCGGTGGACTCGGAGGGGAACAGCAATCAATGGACTGGAATTTCAAGACTTTGCTTGCCCTTTAGTGTGTCCTGAGGTCCCTCTGAAACCCAGCTAGTTAAGAGGGCTGTGGCCACAACCTGCTGCCCGACACGTGCCAGCAACTGACCAGCTCAGCATGGCTGCCCTGTCCACTCAGAATGTCAATGAGGAGGCCTGTGTGGCCGCGACCCAAGAATGGGAACTGGCCTGGCCATATTCCCGGGTGGCAGAGTAGGCCACATGAGTCAGGAAAGCAGCTGTGCTGGTGGGTCAGGGCTCCTCTGCCAGGGTCCAGGTAATCGCTGTCCCCATACAGGACTCTGAGGAGTATTTCCAAACCTAAGGGGCTGTGAGGGGATTTGGACAGCTCCGTCTTTTTGAGCCAGCCTCTGGTCTCTGAAGTGGCCAGGGCTGGTGCGGGAGGATACCAGGCTCAGGGGGATCCCAAGGCAGGTGAGAGGGCTGTCGACGTCCCCTCCTGTCCTCAGTCTTCACACTGGGTAATGGCGGGGGGCTCATCCAGCATCCTGTGCACGTTGCCAGCTGCTCTGGGCCAACCTTCCAGCTTGTCCAACACAGACACCAAGTGGGTGAGGTGCATGGGGGACCCTGTGGTCTGGTAGGAACTAGACTAGGCCCGAGGCCTCCTGCTCCTGGTGGGAGTGACTGTGCCCAGGGAGAACTGGCTTTCCACTGATGCTGTTGCCAGCTTGTGGCTGTTGCCGATGACCAGTCCAGAGACCAGGGAGGTGATTTCTACTACTTCTGCATAGCAAGTGGTTGGGAGTTCTGGCCTCATGGAGGAGGCCCCACCTGGCAGTAGCAGCTGGAGATGCCCACAAGAGGCACAGGGGCCTTGTGGGTGCAGGTGTACATGAGTGGAGCAGACAGAAGGCCTAGACACAGTGATGCCCACCAAGGCAGCTGCTTCACCCCCACGGCCCTGTTTGTGCCCCAGGCAGGGCAGGCAACAGCCTGGGGAGGCTCTGCTTTCTAGGCTGTCCACCTGTCCCACAGGGGAGGGCGCGTGTGTCCTGCTGCGAGCCCTGGAGCCCCTGGGGGGCCTGGAGACCATGCGGCAGCTTCGCAGCACCCTCCGCAAAGGCCCTGCCAGCCGAGCCCTCAAAGACCGTGAGCTCTGCAGTGGTCCCTCCAAGCTGTGCCAGGCCCTGGCCATCGACAAGAGCTTCGACCAGCGGGACCTGGCCAAAGATGAGGCAGTGTGGCTGGAACAGGGCCCCCCGGGGGCCCCTGAGCCTGCTGTGGTAGCAGCAGCCCGAGTGGGCATTGGCCATGCAGGAGAGTGGGCCCAGAAGCCGCTGCGCTTCTATGTCCAAGGCAGCCCCTGGGTCAGCGTGGTAGACAGAGCAGCCAAGCAGGCTGCACAGGCTGAAGCAGGGGCCTGCTCGGACAAGACCTTTTAATTGTTTAAAAATCAAATAAATGCCTTACTTCTAGAAAATAGTGTTGCTTGTGTCTCAGCCAGAGCCTCCCACTGGTCAGCATGTTTGGACAGGACACTGGGGGTTCTATGCACGGCACGTGTTGTACAGAACCAGGCCCACTGTGGACACGTCCTTCCTCGGGCCTGTCATGTCCCTAGGGGACAGTGAACACAGGTGCACACATGCCCACGAGGAGCAGAGGGAACGTGTTCGACCAGGCCCGACTGCGGGACCTGGGCCAGCCCTGATCCTCTCGCCTTAGGTGTCAAAGGGGCGACAGCTTGGCTACAAGCCTCCTGGTCACCAACATAGGACAGTAGCAAGAGGGGGGCCAGGCAATAAGACCTCACACTCTTGATGGCCATCAGAAGGGCAGGGGCACTGTGCTCCCATGATGGCCAGGAGGGCAGCAGTGGAGGGGGCCAGGGAGCGTGGGCAGGGTCGGGAAGAGAGTCTGAGAAACGCGGGGCCCACATACGTGTGGGGAGCATGTGGGCCTTACTCAGAGGCATGGGTTCCGGACACTCCCTCCAGCTCCAAGCCTTGCCTTCCCAGGTTGGAGCCTCTGAGACTGTTCTGAGGACAGAAGAGAAGGCAGAGGCTGTCTGCGTCCTCAGCCCAGGGTCACGGGAGCAGACCCTGAAAGACGGCGATGACTGGGTCCTCGTGGGTGGTCACCACCAGCACGCTGCGGAACTTGTCCAGGAGCATGAGCAGCTGGGAGCGCCGTGTGTTCTCGTTGTACATGATCTCCTCCAGGTGGTGGTGGCCGCGGAAGTAGTGTAGAAGCCTGGAGAGGAAAGGGAGGCAGGGCCCAGGCTGGCTGCTGTCCTAATGGCTGTGTGCAGGGACCACTGCTGAGCTGGCCAGGCCGAGCAGAGCTGGTGGGGGTCTCGGAGGCTCAGGGAAGTAGCTGCCCATGCCCCCCCACGGGAGCAGGTGTCCTGGACCCCCGCCCACCAGGATCGCCTGAAGTGTGTCTCTGAGGACACATGGCTGTTCAAACACAAGCCACCAGAGCCTGGGTTGCACAGAGCCCTCAGTTCTGACTTGCTGGGGGCAGTACAGGGAGGCAGCTCCACCAGCAGTGACTTTCTCATGCTACTATGGCAGCAAGTCCCACATGGCTCTGGATCCAAATGGTAATCGCTCCACAGGGCATCTGGGGCTGGGGCTGGCATGCAGGCCAGGACCAGCTGCTCAGAAGAGTTGCCTGGCCTGTGGTTTGTAACTGGAGCTCCGTCTCTGACATTCCCACTTCTCCCAGAGAATCATATGCCTATAATGCACCCCCTACCAGGCAGGGCTGGGTGGGACAGACTGTCACTTATGATGTGGGGATCCTAGACCCCTCATCCCCAGGCTGAGTCTTGGAAAATCCCTGCCAAGCCCCCCCGAGGATGAGAACTTGGCTGCTGCTTCCCAGGAAGTGAGAGGAAACACCCTGGAAGAACTGTAAAGAACCCCCAAGACAGAAGCACCAGACCCAGTGTTTCATCAACAGACCCGACAACGTCTGGGCCAGGGAGCGCAGCCATCAGTGGGCTTCAGTTGGGGTCATTGGTGTGTCCCCACCGGTTCTCTTCTCCTGACATAGGATTGGCCCAGCCCCACCAGTCGCCCTGGCCCCACCTGGCAAACATGCGGAGGTCCTCAGGGTTCTGGGCTGCGGGCACACTGAGGATGGCTGCCCGCTCGTGCTCCGACAGGCTGGCCAGCAGGTTCTCTGTCATCCTCCTGTCCAGCGGCGAGTCTCCGCTGGGGAGGAGCTCTGCGCTGGAGTTGTCCATGCTTGGGCTGGTGAGGGTCATATCATCACTGCTGGCTGTGGGTGGGCGTGGGTCAGCCCCTGTGGCACATCACCTGTGCGCACCTGGGAATTCTCTGCCACACCCCCAGGCAGGCCTGGTCATCCCACCCCTCCTACCACGGGCAGTGGACACCTGGGCTTGTCAATGGGCCACTGTCTTTGGGGATACGCTCTGGCCATGGTGGCTTTTTTCAAGAAGGAACCGTGACAGTCACTGTCTCATAGGCATGGGGCATGGAGGTTTCAATGTCCTCCCAGTGATGGGGCAAAATCTGCTGTGATCCAAGGCTGCTCCTGACTCGAGCAAACCCCTGCTCAGGAGCCCAGAGGTACAGTTTGCTTCCTTCCTCAGAGCCACAGAGGTGCAGGGAGGCGAGAGGGGAGGGCGGGTGTCTCCTGCCTTCCTTCAGACTGGCTGCCAGTGCGAGGACCAACTGCCCACATAAGGGCCTTGGCTGCTCCTAGCAGTGCACGTTGGGGCTCCTGGCTGCACTACAAAGTGCCCCCAGGTGTTCAACCCCCCCACCCCAAGCAGGGGGCTCCTACTTGGGGAACCGAAGCTGAGGGCATTGGGCGTGCTGAGGCTGCGGCCGCCGACCCTGGCAGTGAAGGGGACGTCGTCCTCTCGAGGGTGGGGCTCGTCCTCACTGGGTGAGACCATCAGGCGAACATAGGTGTGCAACTGGAGAAGAAGCCTGCGCTGCAGCATCCACACCACCATCTGGATGAGCTGGGTCTGTGGGACAGGCAGTGAGAGGCCCGGGCCGGCAGGGACGACGAGAGCCATGGCCTAAAGCACGACGCCACAAGTGCCCCTGAGCTACAGGGCCCGGCCCTGGGTGGGAAGGCTTCCCACTGCAGAAAAGGGGCTCCCAGCTGCTGGCAGCTCTGCAGGCCCACCTTCCTGTACAGGAGCTCAGGGTGGAGCTCGCCTGGGCTGCACGGCTGGCCTTCCTTACCCAGAGCCGAGGGGCAGGCCTGGGACACAGAGGCTCCTGGGCCCTCCATGCTGAGCCGCCCCTGCTCTGCCTCCTCTCCTCCAGCCACTGGGTCTGTCAGGACCCCCCACCACACAGACCTGGGCCTGAGGGGACCCCCTCCTGTCGCCTGGACAGTTCCAGAGGCAGCTTAGGGCCGATGACCTAAAGGCAGACAGTGCCCAGGGACAGGGACCCATGCTGAGGCGAGCTGTCCCTCAGGCACGGGGTCCCCCTGCTCCCCTGGGGCTGGCACCTGACCAGAGCAGTGAGGAGCCCCGTGCAGATGGAGCTCGAATGCCAGTCAGGAGGGTGGTGTGTGTAGGTGGTGCCCATGTTCTCACACACACATCTGCCTGCTCATCTTTGGGGTCCCTTCCTGGGAGGGGCTGGCTGACTGGGCATGGAAATAGGGGTGCACCATGGGCATGTATGACCTGGTCAAATAAAATTGAAAAGGATTTCAATAATAAATTATGAAATAAAGGTTTCATAAGCACCCAAGAGCATATTCTGGGCCTTAAACAGGAGTCATTGGAGGCAGGCAGCCTTACCCCGGGACAGTGCAAGACCAAATCTGACTCCAACTGGGCCCCTTGACAAGGCATGAAGCATCCCCTCAGGCATGGCCTGGAAAATCCACCCACCATCCAGACCTTTGGGAAATTTCCTCTGAGGGAGGGGACGGGGCGGGGGATGGAGGGAGGGTATGGATGCAAAGTGTGTCTTTCATTCAGCTGGCATGACCTGGCACAGTTCCTGGAAACCAAAGTTTCCATGAAAGACAGCATTTAGAACTTTGTCACGCTCAGCCTCTAAATCAACTGAAGAACCAGGATCTCCTCATTCACAGTTTGAGAAGGGACAAGGTTTGCTTTAAAGGACTGGTTTGGCCTAAGAGATCTGGTACTTATTAAAACAAATACTTTACCTCTCAAGAGCAAGTCTTGGGAACACCCAGCACCACCTCTGACACCTGTCCATCGGCCCTGCCTGGGTCCCTGCCCAGCGTTCGAGCCCCAGGTGCTCAGTGGAGGGGACGGGGCAGAGCCTCACTCATCCTCAGGTCCAGGCCACACTCGACACTGCCATACACACAGCACAGAACTCACTGGCTCACTCCACACACCTGGGCCTCCCTGGGCCCCTGCCACACCCAGCATCCCTGCCAGCCCCTCCCCGACCCAAGCCTGCTGAGGGGGCCTGTCCTCTCCAGATCCTCTGGGATGAGATCTGGGGGACTTTTACCCACAGACCCTGTGACCTCCTGCACCAGGTGGGGGTGTTCAGTATGAGGGAACAGGAGGGCAGGGCCCAGACTCAGTGAAAGCAAAGTAACTTCTGCATCCCCCATCATAGGACCCCCAGGAGGAGGCATCAGGCAGCTCTGCTCTCCCAGGGAAGGTCAGCACTCTTCTGCCAACTGGGCCTCAACTTGGTTCTAACACTAAGAACTGTCCACCACAGCCAGGTGGGCTCCTAAGAGGCAGTGGGAGGGACTCGAGACTGCCCATGTGTTGGCTCCCTGGTCAGCCGTCTTCGGGTGGCCTGCCAGGAAGCTGGCTTTTGGGCAGGATGGCAGGGCAGGCAACACCTGCAGGGCAGGCCCCCACTAGCCAAGGGTGCAGCAGCCCTGAGGGCCCTTGGCTTTGGGACCATCACAAGGTGGGTGGTTCCTGGGCTTCCCAAGCTCCTGCAACTCACCTCCTGCACAGGGGGTGTGAGGGGGTTTCTAAATTCTGACAAGGAGACAGGCAAGGAGAACTTAGCGAGGACAGATGGCAGGTCATGAGCCGGGAACTGGTGGGAGAACTGCTCGGCCAATGGAGAGTACCTAGAGACAGGTGAGGCGAGTGTGGCCCTGAGCACAGCAGACCTCCCCATAGAGCATCCATGCCCTTGCCATGAGCCCATGGTGGCAGTGGGCAAACAACACAGTGGGTAGACCAGGGTGGCTAGGATGAGGACACAGCCTAGGTACTTTGCCTTGAGGAGCAGCAGGAGCCGTGGGCACAGGCCACCCACAAACCCCTCTGAGCACCCGAATCAAGGACAAGGCTCCCAACCTCCCACCAGACACCCTGTCCACAACCCACTGGCCAGCAGACTTGGGCAGGCCCAGACCCTTCCGGAGGCTGCAGGTGCCAGAGGAGGAGCACACGCCTAGGGAGGGCCACGTGCTGCTGAACCAGGCCAGAACTAGAACCTGGACATGGCAGAAGCCGCACGTTAGGTCCCAGTGAGAGCTCAGCTGACCCCAGGAGCACCTGGAAGGCCCTGCCAGCCACATCCCCTTCCCATTCGGGGCCCTGGGCTACGGCTGCAGAGGGACTCACAGACACAGGTTGGCATTGGGGGACAGCATGTAGACGTTGTTCTCACACAGCGGGTAGATGATGATGGCCTTTCCCCAGTATACCAGGTGAGCCGCAAGCTGGAACACCTGCAGGCGGGGAGGCCGAGAAGACAATGCCTGGGAGGTTGACGGGCGTCTCCTGCTTCCCTGACTCCAACCATTAACCAGGGCACTGGACATGGCCAGCACACATGGTGCTTTCTGTGCTCAGAGCCATGAGCCTTCTTATCACGGGCCACTGTGTGGTCTGGGGCTGTCGTTCCCCATGAGGGCCCTGTGCTGTCCTGGCTGGTACTGAGGAAAGGTCCCACTAGCACGGGGACATCTGGGGCACCCAGGATCATGAGGATGGGTTTCCAAATGACAACAGATGTGGGGTCACTGAACATGTCCCCAAACAACACACTTGTCCCTGTGTCCCCACAGCCCCAGGGAATATTCCAATGCCCTGCTCTCCTGAACATCAGGATGGGCCACAGACAGGCCGAGATGCCAGAAAATCCTTCCAGCCTCATGAGGGGAGCACAGGTCTGAGAACACATCACTGCAGCACTTCATGGAATGGCAGCGGGCATTCTGGTTCTGTATCACTCGGGTCTCAGGTGGGCTTGCTGCCCCCACTGATTGCCTCCTGGGATGGGAGGGTGTCACCTGACATGCACGTGGTAGCCATGACACTGCCGAGGACACCTCTGCCTCATGTTAGCAAGTGGGATGCCAGTGACTCAAATTTCAGTTTTGTCCCTAAGCCTCTTCTCTCTCATCCCAAGTCCCACTGACATTTGCTGTAAAGCAGGGACACGCCCCCACATCTCTGCCTCCAATGTCACACCCCCACCGCCTCTTCTGCAGTTAAATCTCCCTCTGCCTCCCTCTTACAAGGACCCTGAGATGACACCAACCCCACCCAGAAAATCCAGGATCATTACCCCAAGACCCCTGATTACATCTGCAGATTCCCACATAAGATCACATTCACAGATCAGGGGATTAGGACGTGGAGGTCTGTGAGGCCAGTGTTCAGCCAATCACAAGTATTCTGTTATCCAAAGACAATGTGTTTATAGAAAGAAGTCTGGAGGAATCCACAGTGGTTACCTCTGAAATATGGAACTGTGGGGACTTTCTCTTTTTATGTCTATAATTTATGTGATATTTGAATTTTTATAAGAACTTACTAATTTTATCATGCAAATAAACCCTAAATATTACTTGCAGATTCTCTGCTTTTAAATCACCTGGTGACATTCACACCTGAGGCCCTCCCCAGTAGGGCCATCTGAACCTGAGGCATCACCTGGGCTCAGCCAGCTTCTGCCCCCCACAGGGTCTCCACTGGACCATCTGCTCAGGAAGCAGCCGTGCCAGGGTTTACTGAGCTCTGACACCAGGGTTGGGCGAAGGGGCCTTCCACACAACCACACCAGCAGCAAATCCAGATTTGCTCTGGGTTCAGTGGTGGGCATGGAAGGAAACAACAGACTTCCCACAGCAAGGCCAGGGCAGGGCAACAAAGGGAACATCACCAAAGTCTTGTCTTTGACACGGACACCAGGGGTGAGGGGCCGTGTTGACAGACTCCATGTTGGGCAGCCTCAGTGCACAGTAAGGGACAAGTCCCTTTCAGAGTTGAAAGGGAGCCGCAAACACTCACTGGTATCTGCCATTTAGCCAGCACTGCTCAGAACTCAAACTGCAGGCACACAGAACAGCTGGCATGTTCCAGGTTTTGTCCTGTGGATGCTGTGAAGGAGAGCAGGCCTTCCTAGTGGTTCTCGCTGGGTTCCATCCAGTCCAGAAACCCGTAAGAAACTCCAAGGCAGCATCAGATAAACACTCTCACGAAGGGGTAGACAAAGATCATGCATGGAGTGTAGAAAAAGAAAGGACTTATCCTGGATGACAGAATCCAAGAAGGCAGCTTTGGGGAAGTGGTCTGAGAGACAGGCCTATTTGGACAAGCTCCCCTAACAGGCTGAAGAGCAGAGCCAAGGGCTCCCCTAAACGTGCCTCGCAGGGGCCTAGACTGGCCCACTCCTCTTCCTCAGCCCAGCCTCAGAAAGCTGCCCGTCTCCTGGGCCAGGCCCTGCTGCCCCCTGGTGGCCACACGGTGCCCACCATCACCAGACTCCAGGTCCCGCCTTCAGGCTGTCACTTGGAAAGCACCCAAGCCCCTGGCCTCCCAACTTCATCCTGTGCTTTTCCTCACTTCCTGGCCTCTTGCCCAAGCTCCAACCGGAACCGCGGCCAGGGCTGAGAGGCCTTCCATCCGATCAGAAAGGCCACCACGCAGGCACATGGCTGGGCCAGGGGTGGCCTTGCAGAGAATGTAGGCCTGTACCCCACACACACTCACCCACACACACACAAGGGTGGTCAAGGCCACCAGGCTGGGTCCTCACTCCTCACACTGGCCAAGTGGGGGTGCACTACTGCTTTCTCAAGTGTGGACAGCTGCATGCCTCTGCTTCAGCTCTGCAAGCCCCTGGCCCTGGCACCCTGTCCTTTAAAGCCCAACACCTGGCACTGGGGTGACCTCACTCCTATGCTACAGCCTCCACTGTACTCGACACCGAGGAGGGAACCCATCCCATGGCAAGTTCACAAAGACAGCCCTGAACCCAGGTCTGACTCCGATTCCAGAACCTCAAGCCAACCCCAGAACCACCCATCACCATGGCAGGCCACACAGCGGCTCTGGGACGTCCTGGGACATGGCAAGCAGGCTGTCTGCTTTCTGATACCTCAGTGCCTCCCACTCTCACCCAACAAAGGCTGCTTGCTTTAACGCAGCAGCCCGTCCCTCCTGCCCATTCCTCCCTATCCAGGTGTCTCCCCAGGCCTCCAGGGCGATACCTGAAGCAAGGCCAGGTCTGCATCCTGGGCCAGCTGCTGCAGGTTCTTCACAGCAGATGTGGTCTTGATCACACGCACCAGGGCCGGGGAGCAGTCGAGCGGGAGCTCGCCCAGCAGGGACTTCTCATCGCTGAGCAGCAGCAGGGCGTGGTATGGGCTGTGAGGCATAGTTGCAGATCACCGGGACATGTGAGCTACATACAGGTCCCCTGCTCCAGGTTGCACCTAGAGCCCACAGGCACTGAACCTCAGAGAGAAGAGGCCCTGGGAGGAACTAGAGAGAAGGGCAGTGGTGTGTCCAGAGGCCCTTAAAACTGTGTAAGTGTTACCGTCCCTCTCAGGAAAAACAAATAAGAACAAAACTGAGTAAGGCAGATGACCCCACTTCAGGGACTGCCCAGCAGACATTTACTGGCTGAAAACAATGGACGGCTCTTTCTTAAGGGAGACACAGGAAAAGCAAATCCCTGCAATAGACTGAGCAGGACACGTAAAAACGCAGCCGAGCTTCGCGGGGCGGGGGGTGGGGGGAGGGCTGGGTCACCTCCACATCTTCTGTAACGTGCCCAGATGTCCTTTTTTAGTTAAAAAATATTTAAAGAAACAGGGGACTTGATGTGGCGGTGGGGAGGGGAGCGACAGAAAATTGGTCTCAGCTCTTTCCTTGGGGGGAATGAGTTAAATTAAGAAACAGAGGTCCCAGAGGTTCAGCTTCAAATTCGGGAGATCCGGTGAGCAACACCACAAAGACAAATCCCTCCTTCCAGCAGAGCACCTTCTCCCCACGATGTGAGCCCTTCAGCCCAGAGCCCCACTCACCCAGGCAGTGACAAGAAGGCCCAGGGGAACCCTGGGGTTGGTTATTTCTGGACAAAACTGGACACAAACACGTTTTTACTTCTATAAATACTAGACTCCTACTTGCCAACGTCTGGCAGAAAGAGGAAAAGATAACTTTTAGAACAAAGTAATTGGTAAAAACCTCAGGAAGAAGCAAAAGAGAAGTCCCATGCAGGGCGAGGGCGTGGGGCTGGCACTCACCGGATGGCTTTCAGGCTCCGCTCGATGGCCTCGGGGGGAATGAGGCTTGCGGCAGCATAGTGGATCTTGTGCGGCAGGCAGAAGCTCACCTCTAGCCAGCTGTTAATGTGGAGCCGCACCACACCAGATGTGCACAGGCTGCAGAGAGTGGGCAGCACGATGTTGGGGGCCATCACCCATCCACAAAGAACTCCACCCACATACAGAGGGCACACAGAACCTCGCCTGAAGGTCCTTCTTCCTAGCACACTGTTCCTGCTGCTTGGAGGAAACTGCAGCTCCAGGGCAACAAAGCATCTTTCCACAGATCAGTATATTTAAGAGAAGAAAATGTGTTAGGAAACACACACAAAATAGTAGTTCTGGGTAGCCCTGGGATCTACAGCCCAACCAGAGTGCCAGGGCTCGAGGGAAGCCCCTTCTATTCTGTCCCGGAGGCTTAACACACCAGGGGTGTTCTGGGGCCCCCTCCACACGGGGGCCAGAGCCAGGCCCTGGCACGCCTGATGAAGGCGCCAGCACAGGTAGGCAGCCAGACAGGGCAGAGACTATCTCCAAAAAGGAGAGGTGCATAGAGAGGAAGAGGGGGGTTGTGAAGTGCCCCAGGACGACCTGACGGGGAGGGACACACAGCTCCTTCCCCCTCTGCCTGCAGATGCCGGAGGTGCCCAACATGCTCCACAGCAACCATCCAAACCAAACTTCCACAGCCCATCTTGTCTCAACAATCTTAATTTTCTTCTCTCAGGCCCAACAGAGCAACCCTGTCCCAGACTCTTCATTTCTCTCACATCCCATCGCAAACCATCAGCGAATCCTGACTGTTCTACCTTCAGCAACAAGTCCAGATCTTCTTAGCACCAAGCCCCTCTGTTGGCCCATCCCACTCAGATGCCCATGAGTCCCACCCCAGCAGCCCCAGCCAAAACCCCAACATACCAGGAGCCCCATGCAGTCTGCTGGCTTATCTGACCATGTTTCCTACCCCAGGACACTAGGCCCAGCTGAACGGGCTGCCCTGTTCTTCTCAGGGACCCTGTACCTCAGCCAGGAGCTCTCCCCCAGGTGCCCCAGGGCACCTTCCTACCTTAGGTCTCAGCTCCAGTGCCACCTTCTCAGGGAGGTGAACCTGCCAGCCCCGGCCCACAGGGAATTCCAGTGCTCACTGTTCACATGTGTCCTGAGCACCTGACCACAGGACACATCTGCCAGTTAATGTTTTCTCCTGACCAGAAGTCAGAGTGAAAGGGGTCTGGGGGGAATCTTATGTTTTGTCCACCGCTTGGCACATGACTGGTGCAGTTTGGGGTACTTGGGGGACACTGAGAAGCATTTCATGAACAGAGGCAAGAAATGGGCCCAAGGAACGTGCTGCCCACTCTGGACCATCTCTCAGGAAGCCCCTGCCCAGAGAACAGGCCCCTGGCAGATCCACAGTAGGCACGTGGCTCCATATGCCCTGAGGAGCTACACACACAGGGGTTGTTTCCAACAGGAGTTCCTGAAAGCCCCCCACCCCCACCCCGGTGGAGAAGCCAGCCCAGCCCACCCTCCACAGCCCAGCACACAGCCCACACTGAGTGCAGCCTGCCCTGGGTGTTTGATGCTGAAGAGAAGAGACTGTGTGAGCAGGAGCCCCACCACCACCCCGCCGAGAGTGGACAGGAAGGGATCTGGGCTACTCTCAGGGCCTGCCTGCCCCAAAGCCAGCCAAATGGTGCCTCTTCCCAGCACATTTCAGCCCCACCCTGCTGTTTCCAGTTGGCCAGGACTCCCACATCCTCTGAGTGTTGGGCGGGTCAGTGGCTCGGGGAGGGCTGGTGGGAGCTGCCAACTCACCTACATCTCAGCCCTCTCAGGGGCAAAAAAATGCGCGGTGCTGGGAAGCAGCACCCTCGGGGTGCTCTTAGTCCCCCCTGAAGCCTGAGGCAGCCAGCCAACAACTCCTGGCAGGACCTGTGGTCAGCAGTTTCAAATGCAAAAATACATTGTCATTCTGTCAAGCAGGGAATGGGCAATGGGGAGAGAAACAGTGGGAAGAGCACAGAGCACCCGTGGGACCCTTGACCACCCCAGGATTCTTGCCAACACCTACGTCTGCTCACTGCACACTGCTGGCTGCTCCCACATCCCCTCTGCCCACCCGCCTCAAAGGCATCAAGAAAATCCACACCACCGGCCGTGGCTGAGTCTGGAAAGGGAAGGCTTGGTTACTGTTGAGGCTGCAGCCCCTCAGGGTGGGACCCAGGAGCAGGTTCGATGAGTGTCCTGATATGGGGGAGAGACCGAGAGTCCCTCCCCAAGGTCCCAGAAGAGAATACCATTCCTGGTTTCTTCCAGAACTGAGAGTTAAGCAGGTACACCAGAGCAGATGGAGGCTCTCATCCACCTTGGCCAAGGGTCTTTGCAAACTCTGAGAAACAGCCTCTTATAGAGTTAAAGGTCACACCATGAGAGATCTGCCCAGGGGACCCAGATCAGTCACTCCACCTGACAGAGCGATAGCTCTGCTTTCAGCATTCACAAACAAAAGGGAACAGAAGATCGGGGAAAGCCAAGGGAGAATGAGCCGATGCAAACATCATGTACCAATTTCCTCCTCCGTTTCATGTTACATATGGTCAGAAAGGCTGCTAGATTGAAAATGAAGGCCTTCCCATGTTTTAGCTGCCCTGTTTAGCGTATGGCTCAAAATAGCTGTTGGTACACCACAGAATCAGAATTAAACACTGAGATTCTATCATTTCAAATGTAGATTTTTGGCTCCCCCAGGAACTCAGTGTTGCCATGTGTATGCACACACTAGCATGGGGGTCATCTGCTCTAGAGGGAGAAATGCACCCATGTTAGCTCCCTGGTTTCTAGGTGGATTTTCCTCCAGTTTTCCAAGCATCTGCTCATACACTGGTAACCTCCTCCTTGGGACACTTTGCACTCAGACTGGTGCCTCTTCACAAACAAAACCCAGCTCTGCAGGATGGAGATCCTGAGGCTGCATCCAGCGGCTCCCCTAGTGGTTGACTGCAAACCCAGGCAAATTCCCACAACACTCAGAAACAACTCATGAACGTGGAGAACAGCTGTGCTGGAAACATGCCCACTTGACCAGAGCTCCCAGGCAAAGCCCTGCAAACACCCCACAGCAAGAGGTCATCCAGGAGCCACACTGAAGTCCATCAAGCGAGGGGAAGAGAAAGGTTTGCCCCTGTTTTTAAAGTGCAATTTTAAGACAAGACCTGAGCAGAGCAGGGGGGTGGGCCCTAAAACGTTCCTGCCAAGTCTGTACTCCTATTTGCAAGGCAGTTAATGGTTTGGTCTGCGAACACTTTAGGAAAAATGCTGCCCCACTGAGGCTTATCCAGCCCCTCACCCAGTTCTGAGCCTGATGGGGGAGCCCAACCCTGTCTGCAACATGAGATAGATCTTCCTGCAAGAGCCCCGTGTCCTGAAGCAATGACTGTGCACAAGGCATCACACCAGCCTTTAAAATATACTCTTATCTCTCCTATCCCAGGTGGAGACACATGCAAGTTTATTCCAATGTGCTCACATCTCAGCCTCTGAAAACTTTGGTTCCTAACCTTCACAGAATACCAGAAACATCATTCCTTGGAGTCATCGTTCCTCTTGCCCCGGGAGGCCAGAGCTCTGCAAAGCCAGCCCTGCACCCTGTGGTCACTCTGGATCCATACACAGCCAGGTTCCCTGCTGCGTGCAGTGAGGGCACCACACATGATCCAAGAGGCCTGGGTGGGCTTGGATTTCAATGGTCCACCTTGAAATTTCAAAAAAAGTTTACACGTGGGTGCACTAAACGGAAAGAGAGACTAAAGTGGCCATCTGATATCCATAGAGGCACTCAGAGCCCGTCTCTGCTCTGAACAGGCAGCAGTGGGAGGCAGCAACAAGCAGGCCTAGTTTCCAATCTACCTGATACAGGTGGAGCCCTGGGCAGCTTCCCCCAAACAGGCCCCCAACGCAGGCCCTGCTGACTCTGAGAACCCTGACAGACCCCACGGAATCTGCACTGAAGTGACTCCTACTGACTCGTCCTTTCAGGCCCTAGTGTATGGCTGTGTTACTAAACACATCAAGCACAGGATCTGCGTTTTGGCAAGTGAAGGGACGTCCCAGACCTTGTGGGAGACACAACCTGAAAGTCACACAAATGAGAGGGGGGATGCTGTCACTGAGGTCACTAAGCTCCACAGGGAGACACAGATGCAAGAACGGTTGGGGTACTGCCAGCCTATATACAAGGACACTTAGGTCCCAGAGCACACAGCAACCAGGCCCTCATCCATACCATAACCTTATATAGATATAGATATATTTTATTAAAATATCATTGATATTAAATCTTATGAAGGTTTCGCATGAACAACATTGTGGTTTCAACATTCACCCACATTATCAAGTCTTCATCCCCGCTATTGCGGTCACTGTCCACCAGCATAGCAAGATGGTATACAGGTATACAACATAGTAACATCCTATAGAGTCATTACTTGTCTTCTCCGTGCTGTACTACTGTCCTTGTGACCTGCCTATATTGTGACTGTGAATTATAGTGCCCCTTAATCCCATTCTCCCTAACTCCCTACCTACCCTTCCCAACCCTTCCCCTTTGGTAACCACTAGTCCCTTCTTGGGGTCTGAGAGTCTGCTGTTGTTTTGTTCCTTCAGTTTTGCTTTGATTTTATACTCCACAAATGAGTGAAGTCATTTGGTATTTGTCTTTCTCTGCCTGGCTTTTTTCATTGAGCGTAATACCCTCTAGATCCATCCATGTTGTTGCAAATGATAGGATTTTTCTTTTTATGGCTGAATAATACTCCACTGTATATATGTACCACATCTTCTTTATCTGTTCATCTATTGATGCACACGTACATAACCCTATAGATTTTAATTAAAACAGCAAATCCAGATTGATTCATCCTAAAAGCCCCATCCAACCCCAACCTATTACGTCTCACAGCTTCCAGTTCCTCACTTCTGCCCAAGGAAGCCCTTTCCAGGGCTCTGTCAGAGAGCTGACATCAGGAGAAGAGCTCTGGGTGTTATGTCACCTAATCAATAATGCGAAGTCATCTCCTTTCTTAGGTCCATGGTGCAGCATCCTGCTGGAGCAGGGGCAGCCCAGGCCAGACCCTAGAGGCCAACATGGACCCATGTAGGACAAGGTACGAGGGTAGGCCACAGGCCTGGGTGGTCGCAGAGCTGTTGCTGTTGCGTGGCTGGGACAGGGCACAGGGGAGGACACCACTGTCAAAGGGGCTGCTGCTGGGCAAGTACTGCCACTGGCTTCCTCAGCACCCAGGACTGGTCAGGGTGGGGTCTGGGGACAAGAAGGGTGGGATGGAGATTCACCTGACCCTGACCACTAACACATCAGACCACTTGGGTCACATGAAGTGACGTAACTGCTTAATGGTGGACGCTGGGTCCTCTTTTCGCCAAAAGCTGATTCCTGTCCCTCTCCTTTAACCTGATGCCCACTAGGGGGCGCAGGGCTGTCTCAGCCGAGCTGCTGCGGGCCCAGCAGACCATGCAGAAAGTTCACTGCTGCCAACCTTCCAAAACAAATTAAAACAGAAGACATTACAGTCCATTCTTTCTTTGGAAATACACAATCTGGTTCTGGTTTACTTTTTATTTGAATTCCAGGTAAAACTGAATTTTGTTTGCTGTCTAATCCTAATTGAGGCATGAAAATTCCTAATAAGTCAAAGATTTTCAAGGTAAGGATTTCTAATACCAGCCAACTCAAGACCAGAGACAGTAATACCCTTAATGCACAGGAAATTTCAATATGATCATGAATAATGTCATGGGATAAAAAGACAATGTTGGACTACAAGACCAGAAACCCCATTCTGGGTCAAGACTGAGGCTACCCTAAGGAGTTCTCAGAGCACGACGGACCAGACACCAAACAATGACTTGGCTGGGCTGCTTCAGGCTGCTCTGATGTTCTCTAACAGCCTGGGGTCACCAAAATAAAGACAAAGGAAACACTAGCTGCAGCTGTGTTTCAACAGGACAGCTCTACCTCTTTCCCACAACAGAAAACTGGGCAAGGGATATGAGCAGTGATCTCACAGGAAACACAACAGAAAACTGGGCAAGGGATATGAGCAGTGATCTCACAGGAAAAAAAACAGGGATGGTTTCAAGCATGTGAGGGTATGTGTACATGCCTTCAGATGAAGCTGTACTGATGCGCCTCTCCACCCATTACGGTGGCTAAAATCCAAAATCTCACCACCACCCTGTGTTGCCAAAGAAAGAGGCATTTCCTATGCTCCTGCTAGGAGCTGCTGAGGTACAAACACCCACAGGGAACTGCCCCAAAATTACAAATGTTTCACCTATTCAGCCCTATCAATTCCACTTTTAGGAATTTATCTATGGATACTTGGGCACACATGAAAAATAACATGCTCATATGGTTGAGCAGCATGTCTTATGGCTTGAACAAACTAAATGCCCAAAGGAGGGGGCTGGCTAACTATGCAGATAAAAAAAAAAAATTCTTATTTACCAATACAGACAGAAGTTGAGCCATACAAAGGGCAATTATGTGCAGTGTGCTACCTCTGTGTAAAAGGGAGAAAGCAGGTCAGTGTATGCCTGCCTGTATCTCAAACCTACTTGTGAGGAAGGACAGAGCACCCGTGGCTGCCTGCTGAAACACATCCTGCCACCAAAATGGGAACCTGCCGGTGGTGCAGCAGAATCAATACTGATTTTCAGACTGGATGGATGTGTGACCTTTCCAAAAGCTTCAGTTAAAGAAAGAACCAAAATTTCTAAAAAATTTGTGAGTGATTAAGACTGGGCATGGGATTATAAACAGGATTTATTTTATTTATGCTTTTCTCTATTTCCCTAATGCCTATAATGAATATGTACTGTTGGTAAAATCAGAAAAAATATTAACATTAAAAAGAAAGGAAAGAATCCTGGACAAACAACTGTTTCTAGGCTTGGCCAAACTGTGGCATCACCAGCCACAGCTCTTAGGATCAGGGAGGAAGAGAGGGTAGAGGCGGCAGGACAGGACAGCACGAGAAGCCTGCACCCACGTGCCATCTCTCTGCAACATCCTGGTGCTGCGTGGCCCCCTCAGCTGTGAGTGACAGCCCCTCGTGGAACATCCAGGTGCAGGGCAGGAAAGGCAAAGCTGTCGGGGGGCTGTCCTTGGACTCCCCACAATCTCCCACTCCCTACTTCCCAGCCCCTCGTGCACACCCAGGGCCAGGGAGCGGTGGTCAGGGCCCCATAGACACCATTTCGAAAGAAAAGAAGTTCTTAGTTTGTCCACATTTAAGACACTCAGGGCCAAGCCACCACTATAATCAGAACTGCGCAATTTCCACGGTGTCTCCAACGCCTGCGGCCTTCATACACTCAGTGTCTCAAACCCCCAACTCCCTCAGAGAGGGGAGGAACAGGGCCAAATCCAGCTCCACCTCTGAACCTGTTTCTTCATGGGTGAAGCGGTGACAGTAACACATACCTAATGAAGGTGGACCTGGAACTTGACACTGTGTCATGCTCAGCAAAATGTCACCCTGCATTCAATGATTCAAAACACTTCAGAGTCTCAGGCATAACTTCAACTTCATTTTCTAGTTTGAAAGAGGTTGGGAAGTGCACTTCTCTCAAAGGCAGACTCCACTCAGCAAAGTGGCTGGCACCTCCCTGTGTTCCTGTCTCATCCCATCTCAGCGGCACAACAGGAGAAGAGCACACAGCAGGGGAACCCTAATGCCGCGAGGCAGCAAGCCCCCTGAGGAGCTGCACTGAGGGGAAGGGTGTTTGGGCCTTCTTACCTGTCGTAAGCCTCCTTGAGGTCCCTGGCTAACTTGCACTTGGGCAGGATGTGATGGAACGGGGACTGAGGACCACCATTTGCTGCAAGAATCACAACACAGATGCTTTTAGAGCCTCCAAAGAAAGGAAACTTCATAGGCTAGAATGGAAAATACCCTTCCGGACAAGTTTAACTTAATTTTTGAGTAACTTTAAGCCAAAAATGAGGACGTTCCACACTGCTTTGCACAAAATCTGTGCACCCCATTGAATAGAAATTAGACTTAAGCTGGTTTGTTCAACTACTCTGATATGTAATATTTGTCTTTAAACTTCACCACTGGCCCCCTGACACCACAAGAACAAACCATCTCACTGGCTGCCCCCAAGGCTTCTCAAACCACCAGGGTCATCTTCCATTTCAGTGACCAGGTATTCAATGCCTCGTTCTACCCTTTCCCCTGCACATTTATGCTAATGCAATTCATTTTCATGATTGAAAGACTTTTGTTAATCCTTTCTTGTACATGTCTAACAAAAAAATATGTATACTTACACTGAATTTTTAAAAATTTCCTGTGACGAAGTCATAGACTCTAAAGAGACTGTTTAAAAAATAAAACTTCTAGATTGTTATTAATTACTACATAACTGGCCAAAACACAAGTATTTTGACAGCTAACTGTCAAACATAAAAACAAATTCTTATGAAAACACACCTGCATGGGACATGCAATGTATAGCGATCACGACTTTATATCCATTGCTAAAATTAGACTGGGTTCACCTTCAAATTTGTTCCTGGTTTTATCGGTTGTTAGAGGTGCTGCCCTAAGAAGATGGAGGTGGAGAGATTGTTACAAGTAGCTGTCTCTCTGCACTTTGCAATGTTTACGGTATAAAACCACATGGTGATCTACAGCAAAATCTAGACAGTTGGTAACTCAATTAGGTTCTCCTTCAATGTAGCTGAAAGTGAAAGACTGGAAACCACTCAGCTTGCCAGCTCAATATTCCCGCCAGCCCCTGTGCATGTCCTTGCGCCACAGGGAAACATGTCCAGTGGGACCAGGGCCAGGCCAGTGGTGCCTGAGCTGTGTGAAGAGTCACCATGCAACAGTTTGTGGGGGAGGACGTTTTGAGCTGAGAACTCAATCCCACACATCAGTTCAGGGAAGTGGGTCTATCCCTGTGCCTGAGGGGAGTCTTCCTGGGCACCCAGGGCATGCTCAGCCTGGTGTGAACATCACGGAACCTTTTGGTACCATGTGCAAAACTGGACTGAGATCCCTGCCTCAAAAGGCTGCCTGCTCGGCTGTGGTGTCGGTGTGGGAGAGGCTCCCGCCTCACTCACTGTCAGCCATGGCGGACACCTCGTCCTGTAGTGCTAGGATCAGCTTGGCCTCCCGAGTGAGGTACTGGCAGCGGTGCTCCTCATGCTGCAGCGCAGTGGCGATGCGTCGGGAGAGGTTGTGCAGACAGTTTATCACCGATGGGTCTGCATTGGCCTGCAGCAGAGAAGCCACACGCAACTCAAACACAGAATGCACACTCAGGTAGGAAACACACACAGCAAAAACTCACAGCATGAGAGAACCCTTCTCCATGCCTGCTCCCCAGGTCGCTCTCCAGGGACCAGTGCTGTCCTGTTTCCCGTGTCTCTTCTAAGGCCCATCCATAGAAATACTGGTCGGCTCACAAGCCTATCTTAGGAATGGATGCCTGCATGGCAGCACAGACATGGCTCTGTGGGGTCTCTAGTGGGGGTGGGGGGAACACAGGCATTTCTGTGGAGCAGGAAAAGGCTCCTACACCAAGCCAGGGACATCCTGGAAGGCAGGGAGGGTACACAACAGGCATCTAGTCTGTGCCTGACAGGGCAGCCCAGTGGAGCAGCTCAGGGCACAGATCTGTCTGCTGCGTGACCCTGAGTGACAGGCTCCCATCAGAGAAAAAACAACAGTTGCACCTCCCTCATCAACTGGTCTAACAGGTTACGTGCCCAGAACAGAGCCTACCCTGAGCAAAACCCTGGCAGTTTATGGTCACCAGTGTACTGATGACAGTCAGTGGACAGGACTGCGCTACATGAGAATTCGGTCACAAAGCCCATGTTTCAACAGGGACACAGAATAAGTATGATGAACAGAAGCAATAGGCTAACTGTTCATGGAATGCTTTCTGTCCTCAGGATAAGCAGCTCTTCCCAGAAGAAGTGACCCAGAGAGGCCAGCAGGCTCCCTTGGTGTCCCTGCGCTAATTCTGGAACCTATCAGGGGCTGCAGTAGGGCTGGGCAAGCACATCTGCCCAGGCCAAGGGTGGAGCAGGCAGCTATAGTGTCTGTGAAGATGCTCCACAGGGCAGATAACTGGCCAATCATGACTCAGTGCTTCAGGAGGTCAACAGGGCAGCTGAGTCATCCTACGGGGTGGAGGTGGGAGAAGGGAGGGGATGAATGGTGCTGCTGATTAGAGCCTTGGGTGATGCCTCCTACTTCTGTTTATCTGACAGGCAGGGCCCTGCCCACTGAGTGTCCACAGCCAGACTTCTGGGCCAAAACCTGACCCAGACTCATTAAACACCTTCATCACCTGGCCCTGGAGAGGTTTTCTAAGCCCCTAGCAGATCTCTTGTTCACAAATACAACTCACGTCTGGTGGCACACCTGGGCTGCAAAGCGGACTGAGCATCACTCCTATGCTCTGCCTACCACCAGGCACCCCTCAACTGTATCACCCCAAATATGCAGAACTGGAGGGCCTCGGTTATAGGGTATATACAATTGTTTTAAAACCAAATACATGTTTAGAGGAATCTGTGTAAACCTACTCCCACCAGCAAACCAGAGCTAGAATGATCCTGGGCATGTGATTATTCCCTTGAAGAAGGAATCCAGTTACATTTGAGAGCCTGAAGCTATATTAGAAGTCCCACTGGCTGGAACATGACAGTTTTAAGTCAGATGCCCCACATTCCCAGATGGGCAAGGTAGTGCTCACCCTGGTGAGGCCCAGTGACCGGCACTGACTGATGAGGTAAGCAGGGGTGTCCTGTGTGGCTGCACAGGCCGGGCACCACTCGAGGTGCCCGCTGAGCCCGAGGCTATGTGTGGTCACACTGGGAAAATTACCATCCAGCATTGCCAGCCCTGAGCAGGAGTTCTTAATAATGCCACACTCGTCCCATATGTGATGCGAAGCAGCATGCAGTTTAGGGCATTGCCTGTGAGTCCTTTTAGCTCCCAAAACTTGAACCCAAATGTGATTTGGCCTTCAGAGATGACAAACAGTTTGCAGGAATACAGGGACAGAGAACAAGTCTGACTGCACCATGAGATGCGACTAAAGCTGGAACATTCAATGGGGCAAAGGGAGGGAAGAGTGCTACACTGGCAGAAACCAGGAGACCCAACACCCCACACTTTGTGAGCTGGTTTTCATCCTGGTTCAGAGAGGCCAACTGGAAAAAATGTTGGGGCAACTGGGGGAAGTTGCAATGGAGTAGCTACCAGCTGATATTATCTTATGGCAAATCTGTCAGGTATGAAAAGGGTATTATAGTCTGATATTAATGTCCACATTTTATAGAGATACCATCTTTAGTATGTACGATATAAGGTCTGGGATTTGCCTTGAAATACTTGAGCAGCAAGGAGGCCGATGCAACTAGGGTGCAAGGGCGATAGCTGCGGGGCCCCAGAGATGGGCGGGTGAGGTTTATCAAACCACTGTCACTAGTTTAAGGTTTGTTTAAAATTGCTCAAAGTATACATTTCTACATGCTACTTAAAAGAAGAAAAAATCTTGTCCACCCTAAAATACCAACCATTTACATATTTTAAATTCCTCCCACTCTTCAACAGTATGGCGGGTGCTATGTGAAGTCCTGTGACCATCTTGTTTCCTACTGCTTTAACCTGGCAGTAATCCATACATACTCTTCTAGGTTCTGGCCCCAATCCCATTGCTCATCTTCAATGGTCACAGGACGTGCCAGTATATAGTGACCACCACCTTTTCTAATTGTTCCCCAACTACTGGACACCAGAATTATTTGCAGCTTAATTATTATCATAAACTCTTTAAACAACTTTAAAATCTGCTTGTTTTCTTAACTGCTATGTCTAAGGGTGTCATACATTCTGCTATCACACACTGCTCCCCAGAGATGAGGGCCCGCCTATGACATCTGGGGGTGGGGCTGTCGAGAGGACATGGCTGCTTCTCAAGGCCCATCCCACAGGGGCTATCAGTCCTGACAGGTGGGTAGCATTCGTCATGGTTTTGTTTGTCCCTTAACTGAGTCCTCCGTGGATGTCTGCATTCTGTGATTACACAAGGACTCTGAAATGCAAGCCCTGCAAGAGTGTGACAGTAGACAGTAGAGATCTCCTGCGACCTCACACCCAGGGACGGCCGGATTAACAAACCCTCTACTTTCACTGTGTACTTCTTTGTTTATGATCAACAAGGCAGGCTGGTTTTAAAAATTAAAAGGAGCTTTTCTCCAGCATCATTTCGACTTCGAGCTCTTCACACTGAACTCTGTGGTCTCTACAACAAAGAGCCTCAAAGGAAAAAAACACCTTGAGACTTAGAATGGCATGTAATTTCACATGCTCAGTCTCATTTCTGCTACTCTGAAGGTGTTCAGAGTATACACTGTTCCCTGTCACTAAGACCCAGTCACTTTCTCACTGATGCTTCTGTACAAAAGCTGCAGTGTAGATCACATATGCCTAGCCAGGAAGGACTACTGGATTCTTTGGTGGAAACCAATAGTGGGATATTTCAGAGGAACTCCATTATTTAACAGTCTCTGAATAGAAATTTCCTAGGTATTTCAAAGACCCTTCATAATACAAACCAGTCCTTAGACAGGAATGCTTCCTATGTTACTCTGGATACTTTTATTTTGACAGCTTAATTGAAAACAAATTTCCTGTAACTAGTGAAAACACAACTTTAGACAGTGCTGAGAACTGCTTTAAGAAACAATTAGGCTTAATTATTTAAAAAAATGGAAAATAAGCATGGGCAAAAGAGACTGGAACCCTCGTGCATTGCTGGTGGGAATATAAGATGGAGCCGCCTCTGTAGAAAACATCTGGCAGGTCCTCAACAGGTGTAACAGAGTTCCCCTATGATCCAGCATTTCCACCTAGGCATATATCCAAGGGAGAACATGTGCGCACACAGGAACTGGTACACCAATGTCCTCAACAGCATCGTCCCTAAGAGCCAAAGGGCAAAACCAGCCAATTGTTCGCCACCTGATAAACTATGCTACGCGTGGAGGATGATGTGGCTTGGAAAGGAATAAAGCGCTGATACACTTGATATACTTAGTGGATGAATCTCAAGATCATTACACTAAATGAAAGAAGCCAGATACCAAAGGTAACATATCGTAGGATCCCATTTACATAAAACATACCAGGCAGGTAAATCCATAGAGACAGAAGGCAGATTGGTGACTTCCAGGGGTTGGGGAGGGGAGAGAATGGGAAATAACTGGTCTCTTTTGGGGGCAAGGAAAAGACTCTGCAACTAGATAGTGGTGATGGTTACAAAACATTTTTACTGGGTGCCACCAAACTGCACACTTTAAAATGGTTAATTAAATGGTAAGGTTTTATGTTACGTATATTTAATGAAAGAGAAGAAAGAAACACTGAGGGGTACACTCTTCAAGCACTCCAAAGGGGCTGGTGCCATGCCCATGGCAATCTGACTGAGGAGGTGACACAGTCACTGGAACTGAAATGCTGCCATTTCCCCTGCCCGCTGCCTGGACCTGCCCATGCTCTTCAGCCATATGCACAAACACTCACCCTCAGTGCAAACACCACGTTAAAAAGAATCATGGTGGGAGCTTCCCTTTTTGGGGATGGATCTGTTTTTGAGACCTGTAAGAGAGACATCATTCTAATGAATGAGAGGTACCAGTTTCCTGGAAAAGCTGTTTATTCTATTTCAGGCATGGGAGAAGGTTCCAGAATGTAGTGGAAGCAGAGAAAAACAGAGCCCTTGAGCCTATGAGAAGCAATCAGCACCTTGTACAGAATGCACGGGCAGATGGAGTCATAGCTGGGGTGAGTTAAGAGGGTCAGTGCTATGACCCAAAGTGATGAGACTGCCCCGGTCAGTGTAAGTGTGCTGAGGTGCCCAAGGGAGACAGATGGAGATGGGTACAGTGCATGGACTGTTCTCTGCCCAGACCCTCCCTTCCTCACTGCCATCCCAGCGTCCACGTGGGTCTTCCCAGGCTGTCTCTGCCTCGTATGACAACTACTCAGGACACTTAAGAGACAGGACAATGCTCACAGCCAGCAGAGAGGGCTCCCACTATGGCACTCAGTGAGCCCAGGTCACAAACACCAAGCTGACTACAAGTCTTGCCACCAGGGGGCATAGGGCCACTCCAACAAGACTCTGTCATCACCCCTGCCTGTCACTCCAGTTCTTCAGGGCCTGACTGCTGAGAGGCTGCCAAATCTCCCCTCCACCACGTACAGGCCATCATTGAGGACCCAGCCCCATCTGCAGGGGACTTGGTGAGGAGGGAGGACTGATGTAGGGCTGGGCGCACCCAGCCATGGCCCCACCACCTGGCACCTCCAACACCTCAGAAGCTCTTTCCAAGGACTTAAGTCAATGGAGATTTGAGGACAACATAACAGACCCTTGAACTATTTCTAGATCATATAAATGGAGCTAAATCTTAGCCTATCATATCAAAACCCTTCAGAACCTGAGTGATGTCTTCACTAATTTTTCCTACGTGCAAAGGGCTCACTGGCAGGTTCTTGTGGGCAAATTCCCTTGGGTAACAGTGCATCCAAAACTGTCAGTACCCCTCAGTACTGTAACTTTTCATTCATCAGAGAATAGCACAATAATAAGGGCTAAATTAATAATAATATTGCTTATACCACTAAATAATTACAAAGAAATTTTCCAACACTTTATATAAAGTTCAAGGGTCTGACAAATGCTATTAAACTTATACACTTGGCCTCGCCTAGAAACAGACATTCCATATATATGGGGAAGCCATGGTATGCAAACAGCTGATGACAAGCACCTGGTCAGGTTTGCTGCATGACAGCTGCCTTCACCAGAGCCAGGAGAACCTCCACCCCCCAGGCGGGCCTACCTGTCCCAGAGCGTGCTGCAGCAGGGTCGGGTGCCCAACAAATCGCACGTTATCGATCTTCAGTTCAAATTTCTGACCACACATTTCAGACTTGGTTGCCAAAATTGTTGCCAGAATGACATCTGAAAACCTTAAAATTAAAAAAGGTAGAGTGGAAATAAGTTAACAAAGTGTCACAGCACCACACCCGCTGCCGTAAGAGAGGAAGAGTCTCCGTATATGGCAGATTCGTGTGTGGAGTGTCTCTACCCCCACCGTGGACCTACAGGCTTCTGTCAGAAACTCGTCTGAAGCAATCCCAAAGATTAGGGACATTAAATCACCAGAATTACAAGGAAAAAGGCATGAGAAGCACAGATGGAAGGCACATGCTGTCATTTCTGGGCATGCTCTATGAAATTCAGGAGAGAAACCAGTTGCAGTTTGCTTTTAAAGGGAGGAACAACAGCTGGAGCTGGCACTGCCACGAGGAGCCCCTCATTAATAACGCTCACAGGCAGTGGGGGGGTGCCTCTCCCAACTGGCCCAGGTTCATTGGGCTACACCCCTCCACCCCCAGGCCCCTGCCCCATGCTGTATAAAGAGTGAGGGAACAGCACTAACTGCAGCTATTTTACCTTCCTCACACACGGCTGCCCAGCCTGTCCCTATCCTAAACACTCCAAACCTTCCAATTCTTCCTAGGGAAGAAACCTATAAAATGTACAAGATGTGCAGTCTCAGTGAGATGATAGGAACGCGGGGACTGGAGGCCATGAAGCAGGAGGAATGGCTATGATGTAGGTGACAGCAGACTGGGATACAATCTCCGGAACATGCTGAATGCACCCCTTTCCAAGGTGCCTCTGTACACTTGTTTCCTTATTGCCAACCTGTTCATTCCTGCCCAGAGGATACCCTCCCTTCTCTGGATAAAGGAAAGTCAACACAGGGAGGAGAGTGATGGGGTGTGCAGTGCAGACTCTTTATCTCAGAGCCCAGGCTCCCAGGGCCTCCGTTCCAGAAACACTGACGCACAGTGTGTCTGATCTGGTGCCAGAAGGAAGACAAGTCCTGCGCTCATTTCTCCAGCTAGGAAAAGCATTTCTAGTCTCCAGGTCAGAAGGGTACCTTGTACTGGGGAAGGTGGCTCCAGTTCCCCCAGGGCTAAGCTCTGCCTGAGCAGGGAGACCCCTATAACACTAAAGCAGCCATTCGAGGGCAGATACTCCAGTGTGTGTCCTGGGCCTCTGCTGAGGAGCTGAGGTGAATCAGGCACCCTACCAGATGTTTCTCTCCTGGAGGACCTGGGGAGGGGTCGACCAACACCAAAACTCTCCCCTTTCTGATAGAACAGGTCTGCTGTGAACCGCTGCTTCAGATTAACTTTGAAAGAACAAATGACTTCGGGATAAATGATCTAGGAAGGGGCATTCACTCTGGGCTCCTTACATATGGCAGGGCCCATCACTTAGCATGACAGGAGTGGCCTGAAGTCAGCCTGTGCAAGAGCACTGCTGTGGTCAGCCTGCACACAAGCCAAGATGATCAGCTGTGGACCCTCCCCAAGCCTGTCCCCAGTGGGAGGGTGGGAAGCTAACTGCCAAGGCCTGGGGGCAAGGGAGTGTCCCATGGGCTTCTAGGCTTCCTCCATGGCTGACACTGTCCTCTAGGTGTCTCAGGCCACCCTGTAGCCACAAACCAACCAGATGCAGAGGGTTTGGTCAGAGTGGTTGCCCTGCCTCTTGCTCAAGCAGGACTACAGTTGGACCTTCTGACACTAGTTCTGTCAGAGACATTCTGGGAAACGTGGGACCCACGGCCTAAGCCCTTGTTGCCCATATGGGTCTCTCTTTTCCTGGAATACTGGTCTTTAAATAATTTGATAATTGTGATTAAACCAGAGATGGAAGATTTAAATATCTTACACCATAGGCAATATATGGTTTCTTGAAAACTCTAAATGGTTCACTCTGCCCTGTAACACCTGTCTGAGGGACAGGGTGGTGGTGAGGGAGGGCTCCGGGTGATAAAACCCTAACAAACACTCCTGCCCTAGCAGTTGATCGAGAGCCAACACTTCACTTCCTATCTGAACAAATAGAGCCCCTCCACTCTGCCACCCAGTGACTCAGGGACATAGAGATAACGGATAGAAAACCAAGCTGTCACCACTCCAGGGAGTTCACTTTTTCTTGTGATATCCAAAAATCTCTATTAAAAACCTCTGCTCTGTCATGAAGAGCCACAAATGGGCCTTAGCCCTGGAACTCAGCTACCAGTCCAGAAACCTTAGTTTGGCTGTCGGATTGGTGCTGAGTTTCAGAGACAGGCTGTGGTGGCCTCGTCCATATCTCCACATCTCCAAATCCAAAGGCACCCTTCCAAGAGCCAAACAAAAACAGCCCTTCCCACCCTGAACCCACAGAGGCCAGGGTCTGCATAGGGAGCCCCCTGGAAAGCCAGGGGCCGCTGAAGTCAGAAGCCATACTGCCATAGGGGGCCATTCAGGGAGGCCCCCTGGGTGGCCGACAGGCGGGTGTTTCGCCTCTCTCCTTGTCTGAGTAAGTCTGGCCCACAGAGGAATCTTCTCACCACAGCTTATATTATACATTTATGATTAAAAAAAGCAAACACTTGCACGGCTTTACGTTTTATATTATGTGTCTGATGGCATGTCACACCATGAGATCTGGGGGTAGAAGACATAACTGTTATAAAAAGCAAAATAAAACAAAAACAAGCAAGATATTTCTTTATTGTTTTCAAAATTTATAAAAATCCTTTCCCCTTGTTTTGAAGGTGAAAAGCCTTGTAAATATATTACAGCACAATAAAATAGCTGTCACAAAAACTAACATTTCTGTAGTAATTCAGAAATTTAAAAGCGATAACACACACACACACACACACACACACACACACACACACACATCTAGGAAGATGAGCCAGCCCAGGTGCAAAACAGACTGAGACGTTCCACACCTACAGATACAGTGGGGAAGAGGGCTTGTCCTCTAGCTTGGCCAGAAAGTGGTAGGGAGAGAAAGCAAGGGAGGGGGTTCAACTCTGTCCCCTCCCATTTTGGGGTCTTATGAATACTCTGTGCACCTCCTACGTCCAGAGCAGATACCCTGGCAGGCAGACAGGAGGGTCCCACCTCCTGGAGAAATGCCAGGTGAACTCTACAGGAACATTTTTGCCTCTAATGAGCACAAACAGCACCGTCACATCCAACGCCTAGCCTTTGGGAGAGGCCCCCACTAAACCCTCTGAGGAATGAGGACAAGGAGCAACGCCCCTCTAGGGGGCAGCAGGCCAGGGAGACAAGAAACCCTGCTCCTGCTCACCTACCACCTGCATGGGGCCCCTGGGCCTGCCGGGAGGGAGAGGAGGTATAAGTGCACACCTGGTCCAAGAAGTCTCCCTGCTGCCCGCCAACCTTGCCTTGGCCCCTTAGGTAATGAGAAACAGCTCAACAGCTCCAGGTGGAGAAAGGGCAGGGCTGTGGGAAGCCTGGGCACTTGTGAGGGATCGGGGCAGTGAGGTCTGAGCCAGAGCCTGTGTGCCTCGTTAGTCATTCTTCAACATTGAGGGAAATCAGGAGTTAAGCACAATTACAAGAAAAGAAGGCAGCAGGAATCGAGGCAGAAAGGTGGTGGAGAAGTCTTGGTCTTACCCTGCAACCAATTGCTCATCGGTTGGAGGACATGGCTCGCTGAAATGGGAATAGGACCATCAAGACCAAACAAAAACACATTGATTTTTAAAATTATGAAAAGTTACAAGGTTGTTTTATTAAACAGTATTAAAGTCCACCTGAAGTACCACCATTAGGTGTTGACAACTGAGGTCAAGGCTAAGCCACTTACCAGACAAGAAAGAAAATACAGATGCTCCCCAGGTTGAAGACTTACCACAGTTTTCCCCCTAAAGCTCAAATCCTCACATGCAGTTACAGGCTGGATAAAAATCAGAGTCAGTTTACAGAAGCAAGAGTAAGGCTGAAGACCTGGGTCAGAGCCCAGTGCCACAAGCATTGGCTGGATGCCTGTGCATACCTATTTAATCTTTCTGATGAAAGAGATTCTCTCTCATCAAATGAGATCCCCAGAGGTAAACGTCTTATGAAAACTGAAGAATGCTACTGAGTATCTCAGCCCCAGCTCTTGAGACCCTGTGACTTCTGCCCAGAACGTGACAGAGGCCCTTCAGCAGCAGGGCAGCTGCAGCAGAGCCGTATATACATGTGCTGGAAAACGAGTGACGACCTCTGCACTGTCCGACCAGAGCTGTTAGAGCTATTTAAAAGGGCTAAAGTTCCTCTGCATTCTGGGATATTGTGCTTTCCAAGCATCCTAGAAACAGAAAGTAGGCCTGAACCACAGACTGGAGACAATGCCAGAGGAATGAGAGCCTGCCATGACGCTGGACCATGCCTACAAGGCTGCCCTACTGGGCCTGCTGCTCCCCACCGCTCTCACTGAGAAACACATATTGCTAAAGACCCACACAAGAGAAACATACAACAAAGGGTCCCGGTTCTCAGCAGCTCCCCAACTTTATCTCATCAGTTTGTAAAGCATTACAACTCTGTCTCCTACAACTAGACCAGTCACAACAAAATCCCTTTACTTCAAGAGAGAAGGAGACCATGGGGCTCCAATGTAAGTAGCATTCCACTTCTGCACTGGGGTGAGGTGGTGACACATTAAACCCCACAGGCATGTTTTACAAGCTGAGTCTGTCTCTCTGAGAGAGGCAGAGCATCATCAAGTACTCCCACCAAGACCTAGGAAGCAGAGGCAGATGCCCTGCCACCCTCATGCATCCTACAGAAAGAGGACAGCAAAACTGTGGCTCACAGTCTGAGGAACCTGCGCATGATCACACACTGCAGGAGGCAGCCACTCAGACCCAGAAGCCTGCACCTGCACTTGTTCCAGCAAGCTGCCCTGCAGGGATGCGTCAGTTTGCACTCAGTGCCTGAGCCAGGAAAGGCACGGGAGGTGCCCCAGCTTGGGGACAACACTGCCTGTCCACATTCTTGCTATGGACCTCAGCTCCAGGAAGGAGGGGCATCTTTCTGATGCATCTCAACACACATGCGAGTAGAGGCAAAGCCACTAAGGGAGGCCGTGGTGGAACCCATGTGCACCTGGTGTGGGGGAGGTATGTGCTGTGTGCTGGGGCTCGGGTCTAGCCTAGGGTGGACTATGTCCCAGAGCTGGGCCTACTGCTTGGCAAAAGGGGGCCGAGCCTCAGGAGGGCAGCTGTGCTACCTGATTCCACTGCCCCACGATGCCAACTGAGAGTTAAACAGTAGAGAAAGAAAACTGCTACAGTTCTGGGGAGGCCTTCTGGATGATGTCTAAAGTTGAATGATTTCAGAATGCTTTGAAATAAAGTCGACTCTTCTTCAACCCACCAGCATCTCCTCTGAGATAGGGCCATAACACTGACCATGATCTGTAGAGAGAGGCCAGAGAAGGCCACCCACAATAGGATGGATCCTGCTCACAACAGCCTTTCTGACTGATAATCTGGCATTCTCTCAGAGCTCTCTTGCTAGCTTTTGCCCCTGCCAATGTGTGGGACACATGATGAGATTAAACATGAGCTCCCTGGCTCCTAAACCCAAGTAACAGGAACACCACCACTCTTCTAAGCTTAAATTTCAAGACTTAGAGAAAATGCACAGTATTCATCTTCTTCTCTCTCTACTGAATTCTAGAAAAGGGTTTTCAAAAAAAAAGACTGTTGATTCTTACATTCTAAAACACATCATCTTAACAATTCATTTGTAAGACCAGCCCACTCTCTAAGGCAATACCATCCAAAAGAACTCTCTTAGTGATGGAAATATTGCACCACTCAGTAAAGTAGTCACTAGTTACATGAGGCCATTGAATGCCTAAAATGTGGCTAGTGCAACTGAGGACTTGAATTTTATTTAATTTCAGTTCACTCCCATTTACATGGTCACCCTGGCCAGCGACCATCATCCTGGACAGCGCAGCTCTGCATCCTCACTTCTCTAAGGCAGCTACCGCCACACTCAGAAGCTACCCATGTGGCCTGTTCAACATCATTCAGTCTGGGAAAATGATAAGCTGGAACATTTCGCTGGTTCCAAAAGAACCTTTGAGAATGACAATCAAGGAAAACACAGACAATGAGTATGATGCACTGTCACTGCACTGCTCCAGAAAGATGTCTGAGCTGTGACAGGGCTTCCCCAGGTGCCAGGAGCTTGGCAGGCCTGTGACAAACCAAAGCTGGGCCCCTAAGGATATTCATCTGCATCTCTGAAAACATTGGGGTGGGGGTGGGGAATGGGGTTATCAGATGTTATAATGTCCTAAAATTAACAACTCAAGCAATTCTTAAATCTAATGAGAGAGAATCTCTAGAAAACCAGTTCTTCTTAGGGAACAAGCATGATAAGATAGGGAACCATCCCAACAGACCCACAATGTCTTACTCTCTTTCCATGGTTTTCTCTCTTCATTACCCTAAATATTGAATTAATTCCCTTGAAAACATCCTCAATCTTTGATTATAAGCCTCTGAGAATTAACTGCAGGAATTAGGTGCTGCCAGCCTTCCTAGAAGTCCCACTACACAGACCATTCCAAGAGCTCTTTCTGAATCTTAAGCAGCTTAAGCCTGACACTCTGCAGAGCCTGCACAAAGAGTGGCAGGCGGGCAGCCAGCCTTACTGTAAACTGATGAGGACAAAACACACCCGCCCCACGTGAAGGGCAACAGTTTTCTATATGCCTGTAACAAACAAGAGTTTGTTCCAAGTTGCCAACTACAAAGGATAAGACAGTCACAGTCCTCTGCATCAAGCAGAACAACCCCTGGGATGTCCAACAGCTCCCCACACCTCCTGCCCCTCCTGCTGGTCCCTCTTCCAAAGTCCACTACGCTCATAGACAGTCACTGGTTATGCCAGAGGCCCCTAACATCCTCACAAAAAAGAATAAAAAACACACTTGTGGAAATGCACAATACTGCGGGTGGTGTGCAGCCTTGTCAGAGAACAAGGGAAACATAATAACATACTGTGTGGCAAAAGCCCAGTGTGGGAGCTCAATTATTTCCCATGAGACAGGGGAGGCTGTCCTTTATTTACTCAGTACCCCTGGCTGGGCTGAGGAAAATCCAGGACAGGCAATTTGCAATCCTTCCTCCTTCATCTGGGCCCATGTTACCATTTACTAAGCTTTAAAATGAACATCAGAGGCAAAAGTGGTCATCTCTTATTTTTGCCACCCTGACACCACTTCCCAGAGAGAGCAGGCAAGTACACATAGGAGGGACGAGACCCACCTGTCATTCATGCCCTAGAAGAGCCAAAGGTCAAATCAGCCCTGGCTTTCAGCTCACATCACCACCTGGATGGGCTGTGCTGTACCTGAGCACCTACATCTGACTTCTGGGCACATGCTGGAGTAATAAGGTCTGAGGTCAGTGCCAACATCTACTTTCCTCCATGTTTCTCCCATGGGAGATAAACGAACTACAGGACATGGCCTCATCTGTTCTCCAACCTGCTGTACCTACCAACCAACCATCTCTGCAGCTGGAACATGCAACTGAATTATGCAGCAAGCCAGAGATTAGCAACACAATCCCCAGCTCTGTGCTACTTGAAACACCCACCAAATGGAAAAAAAGGACACGGGGTTTCTCAGGGGAGAAAACATCTGGGTCAAAAGGAGGTGAGGCTTTGCCCAGGCCTGAGGGTAGGAACCAGCCCCATCATGGACTGACTGCACAACCCTTACCTTGAGTCACCGTCCTGGTCATCAACATGGTCTCCAGTGTTGTTAACAGCATATCTGCTACGAGGCTTATCTAAGTGAAGGCAGAAAGGGGAAAACAGCTATGAAAGCAAGATCCATCCACACAGAGGATGACTCTGGAGCCATTTAAAATGATGGTTTCTAAAATGTGGTAGATACACGTGATGGAATATTATTCGGCCATAAAAGGAATGAACTTGAAAACATTATGCACAATAAAAGAAACCAGACACCAAAGAACAAATATTGTACTTCTATGAAATATCTACAATAAGCAAATTCATAAGCAGAAAACAGATTAGAGATTACCAGAGGCTGAAGGCAGGGAAAATGGGGAGTTACTGCTTAATGGATACAAGTTCAGTTTGGGATGATGAAAAATTTTGAAATGGACAGTGAGGATGGTTTCACAGTATGGTTAGTTATGGTGAATGTAATGTCACCAAACTATACACTTAAAAATGGTTAAAACAGCAAATTTTACATATACTTTTTACCATAAAAATATTTTCAGAAAAATGTATGGTTTCCAAGAAGTCAGGATAACATAGGAAATGTTTTTGCTACTAAGTTAAAAAAAAAAAAAGGATCATATACATCATATTCATATACACATACATAGACACACACCCTGTCAATGTAAGATGGCAACTAGGTTGGAAAAAGCATTAAGGAAAAGAATTTTTAAATAGTATACCAACATCCCCCATAGACACAAACAACAATACCTTTCCAAGATAATAAAGTTTAGAGACCTAAGGATTAATTTAAATTCCTCATGGGTGAGTTCTTCATGGGCCTCTTTCCCAAAACAGAAAGGGCAACAAGAATGAATAGAAGAAATACTGTTCTCAAATGGGAAGATCCAACATAAAGACTGTCTTCCCAGAAGATCAACACATTTAACACAACATCCAAAACAACACCAACAGCTTAGGAGTGAGGCCTAACACCGCCAATACTAACGCTTTTAGGGAGAAGCAAGCAAGGACAGGAGGATACTGACAAAGAACTGACAGATAGTGTAACAGTATAAATAAACAAAGGTGCAGTAACACATCACTGGGGAACCCACAGATCACCGGGAGAGATAGGAAAGGTAAAAAATGAAATCAAACAGCATGAGAATTTAGCATGAAATAAAGGTAGCAGCACTGATCAGTGGAGGCAAAGTGACTTATTCTATAAAACAATGTTGGGATTAGGTAACCATGTGGAGGAGAGAATTAAGTTGGCTCTTGAACCTACCATTCTCTAGCTGTGGGGCCCTGTGTCCCCACCTCCTTCCTCGCCCATCACAGCACCTGCTTCTCAGGGCTCCAGGAGGGGCACACAAAATTTTCAGCAAGTGCCCAGACAATACCAGCTCCTAGTAGGAGCCTTCATATTATACCAAAAGAAACACAAGACGATACACGTTTGACAGGAAAACACAAGACATTCTTTTTGTTAATAACCAGGGAAAGCAGAATACCTTTCTAGATATAACAAAACTCAGAAACCATAAAAAAAAAAAAAACACTGAAAACTTGACTCCATAATAAAATCAAACTCTACATGGCAAGAACTACAGAGAGGCAAACTGGCTAAGAATGTACAGCTTTGTCAGACAAAGGCCTGTTTTTAATTCTAAATAGATAAAGAGCTCTTTCAAATCTACAGGAAAGAAACACAAGAGGAAATTGGGCAAAGGTTATGAATAGGTCATTTACTAAAAATTAAAGCCGAAGGCAGGATAACATGCTCACTCTCTAACATAAGACAATAGCACATTAAAACTACCACTAGATTTTTCACCCATCTCATTAACAAAGATAGAAAAATGCAATTAAAAATAAAATGAATACGTTCATTATCTCCTCCATTCAAACCATCCCACTTCTGGGAATTGATCCTATATTCTGTGAAATGATAACACATACACAAAGGGTGTTCATACCATTTATATTAGCCAAAGATTGTAAACAAGTTAAATGTATGTCAAAAGAGGAGTGGACGGACAAATCACAGTATGTTCATCCTATGATTCTGACAATTCTGAATCTACAGCCACGGTGTAAGGTGAAAATGAAGAGGGCAGAACAGTGTGCACAGTGTGTTCACTTCATTCTTGTAAAGCCACGTGTACCTCCTTCCGTATTTATGTACAAGGTTCTGGGAGATGCACAGAAAATGGAAATGGCAGCTCCCCTACAACGTAAAGGGTGGCTGCGCCTCAGTGGTGGGAAAGAACTCTCTATTCATAATCTAAACTCATTTGTACCATATTAACAAGGTAAAAAGTAATTTAAAAATAAATATAAATGACAAGCTGAACATTCATGACAGGAGAGAAGCTGAAGCATCCCAACGTCCACGGGGAAAGGGTATCGCTCTCACCACCCAGCAGTGTGCTGTGACTAAGAAGGTGGTTTCTGTTTACTGAGGTGGAACCCTGCCAAGGCACAGTGTTCAACGGAAAAAAGAGCGACTTCGGGACAACACATTTGTGTGAGGAAAAAATCTCCCTGGACACAACACTGTTTTTTCTACGGACGTGTATTTGGTGTCCATTTACAGGAGGGCAATTACCAAACTGGTAAAGGGGTATCCCTGCGATGCGGACAGAGCGAACCGGGTGGCCAAGGAAAACCTCGGTCCTTCCCTATTTTCTCCAAGCTGAATACATTCATATGATGCTTACATATGCTTTAAAAGGCTGGAAACAATGATGAAAAAAATGATAGTGGCTTTGGCACGTTGAATTATGAGTGATTTTTCTCCCGTTTCTTATTGCGTTTCTATCGCTTCCACACACTCCGTAACGACCAGGAATAGGAAAGAGGAAGCGACTTCCGTCCCGAGGCGCGAGGCGGTGAAGGCCGGGGTCCGGCGCCCGCGAGGCCGGAGCGCCAGGCCCTCAGCCGGCGCCCACTTACTTGTCTGGGACGCCGGGTGCCCCTGGCTTCTCTGGAAGGGGTACCTGAACAGCAGCTTATTGCCCCTGCTCCCCGAGCTCACCAGAATCACGCTGATGGGGCTGTTGTTGTCCCCCATTCTGCCCAGGGCGGGCGGCCTGAGGACACGCACTGGGGCCACGGGCAGGGTCTCTGAGGGGGCGCGCCGGGCCCGGGGAGAGGGGAACCCGACGGGGACGCGCCGGCGCAGTAGGCGGGGGGCGGGGACGGGACCCGACGGGGACGCGCGGGGAAGAGGGAGGGGACCGGACGGGGATGCGCCGGGGCGGGGTGAGGAGACCTGAAGAGGGCGCGTCGGAGGCCGCGGAAACGCCTGGAGCGGGGAGCCAGACCGACAAGGGCAAGCGCTACAGTCGCCAAACCCACGCGCCACCTAGTGCGTCGCGCCAGGCTCGCGAGACTTCCGTGACAGAGCCCAAACAAACATGCAGCACTGGGGCTCCAGCCGCCCGTGTCTGCGCAGGCGCGGGTAGCTGTGTGCGCAGACGTTGGGGGCCTTCTCCGGAAAGCTACGTGCAAGCGCTAGCGCACGCGCGTGACCCCTCCCTCCTGGCGCGCAGGGAAGTCACCCAGCGGAGTAATCAGGAAACGCGCCACGTCAGCCCTCCAGTTCTAAGCCGCTACCTCTAAATGTCGCATTCTTCATTACCAAAGTAACACTTGCTTTGGACAGAAAGGTCAAAGTCAAGTCATTTAAAGTACAAAAATAAAAAAGTACTGCATGTAATTGTAGAGTAATGATAACAAAATTTTTAAAAATTAAAAAATTAAAAAGAAATAAAAAAGTAAAAGCCTCTTGAATGGATCATAGACCTAAACGTAAGAGCTAATACTATAAAACTCCATTAAGAAAATACGCGGGGGGCTAAATCTTCGTAAGCTAGACTAGGCAATGGTTTCTTAGATAAGACTCCAAATGCACAAGCGATGGAAGAAAAAAATTGGGTTTCATCAGTTTAAAACTTTTTGTGCTTTGAAACTGAAGAGTCCTGACTCAAGAGTCTGGGCATAAGCTACTCCATTTTTTTAATGACTTCGTTCTGTGACCTGCGCACGGCCTGCTTTGCACACAGCCGGCTCTGCACACGGCCCGCACTAACTAGTATGAAAGAAGAATAAACTTGTACTTTGGGGTCTCCACCTGCGCGTGCGAGACCCCAGCATGCTGGCTACCCAATAAATGCTCTTGCTTTTGCATCCACGCGTCTCCCGGTTATTTGGAGGTCGATTACACGGACCCAACAAACCACCACCAAGAGAGTAGTAACAGGACCCTCAAAATGGGGGGAAATATTTGCAAATCATGTATGTGATGAGGGAATTGTACCCAGAACATATTTTTTTAAAAATACACGCAACAATGAAAAGACAAGTAACCAGATAGAAATGGACAAAGGATATTTATTTCTCCAAAGAATATAGACAAATTACCAATAAACACACGGAAAGATTCCCAACATCATTACTCATGAGGAAAATGCAAATCATAAACTAAAAAGAGATGCCATAGCACATCCACTAGGCTAGCTATATTAAAAAGACAAAATAAATATTGTCAAAGGAGGTGGAGAAATTGGAATCTTTACACAGTGCTGATGGGAATGTTAAACGATGCAGCTACTGTGGAAAATGGTCTGGCATTTCCTCAAAAGGTTAGAGTGCAAACCATTCCATTCCTAGGTATAGACCCAAGAGAAATCAAAACATAAGTTCACACAAAAACTTGTATGTTCAGAGCAACATTATTCATAATATCCAAAAAATGCAAACAACCTAAATGTCTATCAACTGATGAATGGGTAAACAAAATATGGTTTGATCCATGTAATGGAATAGTATTCAATCATAAAAAGGGATGAAGTATCAATATATGAATGAATCTTGAAAACATACATATTGCATGATACCATTTATATGAATGAATGTTCAGAATAGGCAAATCCATAGCCACAGGAAGTCATTTAGGTTGTCCAGGGATGGAGTAATTGGGAGGATGTGACTGCTAATGGGTCCATGTTTTTTGGACTGATGAAAACGTTCTGAAATTGATTGTGGTGATGGGTGTACAACTCTATTAATATTTGAAAACCCATTGAAATGCACACTTGAATTGGGTGAACTCTATGGTATGTGAACTTTCTCTCAATACAGCTCTTTTTTAAAAGTCAAAAAAGGGAAACACCCCACCCACCCCATCCTAGTCTTCCTTAGGAGGTGACCACAGTTAACAGTCGACTGTTGCTGTTTCCCAATCATTTTCAAACACATCATTGTGTGAGAATGTAACCACTGGACTAAAGGATAAACATTCTCATTGCTGAAGTAAGCTCTTGCACTGAGGCTGACACAAATGTGTATTTTGCAGAACAGATTTGTGAGTTCAACACACCAGGGTGAAGCATATATACATTTGAAATGCCTCAGACTTTACCAACAAATTCATTGCCATGCACAGAGCTGCTTAGCATTGATTTCATTTTTTTCCAAAATTTCCAAGAAGGAAAATGGCGTCTTATTCTATGTTGCATGTCTTTGATTATTACTAAGGTGGAGAACTGTATCACTTGATTATTTGTTAGTGTCTGAAAACTGCCTCCTTGTTTTCCTTATGGGTTGTTTGTCCTCCTTTGACAGATGGGCGTGTTCTTTCTTTGTGAGGAATAGTTATCTGCTGTTCTGCAACACAGCAAACCTTTTTCTCAGTCTTGTATTTTTTGGTTTTATGTATGATAAATATGTTTCTGAGTTCTCCCACAGTTCCCAGGAATGTCCCTGGAGTGGAAATAAGGGCACAGGAGCAGGACCCGAAGCTAGCAGAGCAGGGCAGATGGTGAAGACCGAGCCCGCTGTCCAGGGGATAACCAGCTGTGGCAATGGGGGACTTCCCACTGGGACATGGAATTGCCAGGTGCCCAGATATGAGGACCAGGAATGGCTCAGACCTTCTCCCAATTCCCCTGGCCATGCCGCTGCTCCACTGGACAGTCCCATGGTCTCAGAACCTGGAGAGCAGGTCGGTGTCCAGGGGCTCTGGAGTGAGTCTGTGGGCTGAGGGAAGGCCCAGACTGGGAGGAAACTGCCATTCTACAATTACCCACTGAGGGCCCACTTCCTGCTAGCAGCCTTCACAAAGAGCATTCACTGTTTTCTTTTCTGGCTCTTTGTTGAATATCTTTTCCTTGTAATGAGCATTGGCATCCAGGAAAGTGGAAGGGAGATCACCAGGATCTCAGCCCACAGAGGCCCTAGTCACATCCCTCCCCAGGCTGCCCTCACTGGGCTCAGTGCCAGGCTGTCCAGGCTGGGCTGGAGAGAGCAAGGTCAGAACCCCGCACCCCATCACCAGCAGAGCCTCAGTGGCCACGCCGGTCACCCTCAGTGAGCTGTCACGGAAGTCAAGAGTTCATTGTCACTCCCTGCCCGGTCCAGCCTGGAGCCAGCAGAAGGAGGGACTCCTGGATAGCCTGGCTGTGCTTTGGGCCTCAGTTTCCCCGCCAGTCACAGGGTTGGGAACAGACCTAGCTCAAAACCCTCACAGAATCCTGAACAGGGACACGCCCAGGGGCCAGCCTCTGCTCACTGCAAAGGCATTCCCCAAACTCTTCCCTGCTAACACTCCATACCTTTAGCACCCGATTTTAAATTTAAATAGCTGTCTTGTAACCAGTTTTTTGGAAGGTATGTGGATTCTTGGAAACTGAAACTGTTGACCCTTGCCCCCACCCCATCCCAGCCTGAGTACCCTCAGGGCAGGGCCAAGCCTTATCAGCCCTGCGACTGGGTCTGGGCTGATAGAGCCACCACCTTCCTTCAGCTGGCTGGGTGGGGTTCACAGACCCCATCTCCCACCCACCTTCCCTGCCTGAGTGTTCCTGCCTGCAAAGAACAGTAGCAGCTGCAGGAATCCCAAATTCACACTGCCATGTCCTGAGGCAGTGGGGCAGCAGATTATCCCTCCTATTCTAACCCCGACCTGAGAGATTTAAAAAGCAAAACTGGTGTTGGAAAGGTTAATTAGTTTGTCCAGGGTCACCCAGGGGCTGCCTCTCAGGGGAGGGTCTGTAGACCCCTGTCTCAGCCTTCTGCTGAGTGACAGACTCTGAGCTCAGCCTCAGCTACACAAGCGCCGAACGAGGCTGGGGCTGGGAATTCTGCCCAGACACCACACATGTCTGTGTCCCGGAGCACCATGCAGGCTAGACACCCCCGAGTCTGCAGGCAGAAAATCAAGGCCCAGAGACAGAAGAGACTTCGTGAGCCCCCAAGAGCCAGCAAGCTAACCTGTAAGAAACCCCAGTCTCCCTGGGGTAACCTTCCCCAAAATTCCATTTCTTTATGTTAAAACATGTAATGATAATTAAAACTTTTCTCACTGGGTGTTTGGCACTGTGCCCAGGACTTAGAAAGAACTTGATGAATGCCAGCTAAATCAGCACACCTCAGTTCACACTACACGAAATCAGTCCGAGGTGGGTTGTCACCCAACTCTAAAGACCAAATAGTATACTTCTTAGGAAGGTAATCCTGAAGGTTCTCTTCAGCTCCATGTTCAATACAACAGTTATTCCACTTTTTTAAATATCAAGATAAAATTTTGAAAATGAAAAATTACACATTTTAAGGGGAACAATTCAGTGACATTTCATATATTCACAATGGTGTACGATTCCCATCATTATGTAGTTCCAGAATATTTTCATTATCCCAGAGGGAAACTTGGGACCCATTGTCAACCAAGAAAAGCAGCAGAACTGAAGTAGAACAAAAGCATTTATTTGGGGTCTCAGAATTGCAATTCGGGGAGAATAGATTCAGGGAGCACCCAAAATTGTGTCCCACTAGGAAACAAAAGTCAGAGCTGTTTAAAACAAAAAGGGAATGCTTGTATATGTGGTTTACAAAGAATTTTGATTGGTGTTGGTAACATAAAACTAATATTGGCTAAACATAACTGGTTGCTAAGGCTGTCTCTAAGCGAAGTCTCTCACTATAGCAAGGCACACCTTGGAATATTTTCAGTTTAGCCCAAAAGTTTAAGGTTCCACCTGGTGAGGATGTGCATAAAGCTATGTCCTTGATGGCCTCCTGAACCCATTTTAAAGTCCCTTGACATAAGTGACTCCACTGTATTTCACCTTTCGCACCATTAAGCAGTTGCTCCCAATTCTCCCTCCTCCCAGCTCCTGGCACTAACCTACTTTGTGTCTCTACGGATTTGCCTGTTCTGGACATTCATGTAAATGGAGTCATACAATATGCAGTCCTTTGTGTCAGTCTTGTTTCACTCAGTATAATGTTTCCAAGGTTCATCCCTGTTGTACTGTGTATCACTGCTTCATTTTTACGGCTGAATAATATCTCATTGCATGGAAACACCATTATTTGTTTATCCATCCATCCATTAGTAGTCAATAGGATTTTTTTCCACCTTTTGACTA